AAGTGACTTTCGCTCCATCTGGAGACTTTGATTGTAACAATTGAGAGCTCGATCGGGAAAGATGGAAGAGTGAGTCGGGGGCAACACCTTCTTGTACATGACATCGCTGTCGTACGTTTGTCACAATTATTCATCATAATTGACGCAATAAATATATGTTTATTACTAATATAGTACATAATGATTCTGTACTATATTATTAATATAGAGGAATATGGCTTGTCCAAGCGTGTCATTTTTGACACAGTAATTTGAGCTTTTCTCAAAAAGTATAAGCGCTAGAAATTTCATTCTTGCGCCATTCGACACAGCTCACCATACTCTACTTTTCGTATAAAAAGCAAGGTATGTGGTTAAGACTCAAATTTTTAGAGTCGTTTTTCGGCGCGTGACACTCTGACAAAAAAAGGGCCCTAAATTCGAAGTCCCTCTCATTAAAAGCCAATTTGCTGCGAATTAAAAGAGCTAATAAAAAGCGTTTAGAGCAAAGTTTGTACAGCAGTAAATGACCTACTGATAGCTAAAAAGGAATCTTTTCATACAGCTTTCTATCCCTCAATAATTGTGTTTTATCGTCGTGACGTTGTGACACTCGTTTTTCCCAACAAAGTTTGGAGTACTAAACATTGCTCAAAGGATTTCATTTTCACATCAGACTTAGTTTTAGGCATCTAATATAGACTAAGGTGAAAATAAAGCTGAAAAAATGTTTTCACTTTCTTAGAATTGCGTACGAATCTTAAAACTTAAAACTTTATTAAAACGTTTGTTTTGAGTCTAAGCTTGAAAAGAACCATACCATCTTGTAGAGAATCGAATTCTCTATCGATTAGTATGGCCTTCCATTTTTATTAGGAAAGTGTGTAGGTGAGGAAATTAAAAATACAGTTTTCAAAAAATTGAAAACTGGATTTAGGTGGCGATAAAACTGTCGATTTCGTGTTTTAAAATCAGTTTTTCTTATCAGCGCAAACTTTAAGGGTCCCTCCTCGGAAATTATCTCTGATACCGTACATCCGATCTTGACGAAACTTTCCATAAATGTTAGGTTCAATGAGTTACGGGAATGAAAAAACTTTTTTGTCTCCAGGTCTAGGTTCAGGGGTTTTCTAGAGATCAAGGTGCAAAAGGGCCCTAAAGTCTTCGCCAGATTTTTTTATATACTTCAAGCTGCAGAGTTCGGGTTTGTTGTATTTTAAACCTTACACCTAACTGCTTGGGCTGAATAAACTGTCTACGACGAGATGTAACTCTTATATAGTGAAAACGTTGAATTAAACGCTGTATAGAATACTCAGTTTTAGGACTTGTAGGAAAATAAAATGCCTGTAGCTTTTTGATGCAAGATCATACAGAGTTGTGCGAGGTCCTGTTTAGATCAGAAACGTTTGCCCTACAAATATGTGTGTTCAGAAAAATTTTAATTGCATAAGTATCCAGAAAAAAACTATTATTTGAACTCAATTCTGTAACTAAGAAGCGATGCAGATTTTGAAAGTAGACACTTCAGGCTACCTTTTCATGTGCTTATTTGAACACCAGTTTTTGGATAGAAAATTATAATTTGTGAGGGGGCCCTTAAGAAAATAAACACATAGTGAATCGTTCAACTGATATACTCAAAAGACGAAAGATTGGAAAAAAATTTTTTTCACTAACGGTTGTGTCGGGGTTTCAATTATACTAGAAAATTCTCCATAAAATTCTGCATCGTTTGATTTATGCTTCGGAATAGAACACATATTCGGAAGAAATTTTATTGAAGTATAAAACTGTGAAAGCATCGAAAAGTGTCTTTTCCGACACACTTATCTCATCGTTCGTTTTCTACTGGGAAACAATCTAGACATTTTTACTGTTCAGCTTAACAAAATCGGCAGTTTTATAGAGTGAAAAATTCTCTATCAAATGAGCTTAGAACGAAATTTTTGAACTGTTTCTATGTTGCTCAAAAGGTGAAGATAAAATCGACCCGTTCTTTTTGGTCCACCGGTTAGAACTAATTAAATTTATCTGAACCCTCTTTGTTCGGTTCACCATTCCACCAATTAGTCAATTTGTCCCATCAAGATTTTTCTTTTTATTTGGCTTTCTTCTTTTTAATTTATAGAAATATTGTCTAGAAATTCATTCAAATATAAAACAGCAGCAAAAAAAATTTTCGACTTCGATTTCTGCTGTTCGACGAATATAGAGCAAATTGAATACATCAATCTTTTTCTCGAGTTCCTTAAATATAAATATCCAGATTGTATATTACTTTAGCATGTTGTCGTTGTTTTTTGCTCAAATCACCCGATAAATCCGGGAAATAAAGTTCATGATACTCGCGAAATCGATCCAAATTCTTCTTCTTCGAACCTGATTCCGATTGAGATTAATACTAATTTGTTCCAAATCGATTTTTGCATCGAATACCGATCGTACATAACCTTGTTCATGAGGTGTCTTAGCAATTTTCGATCTTGCTTGAATATTAAGTGGTCGAAGAACTAAGAAACAGGCCGGTATTCGATGTCGATAATACGAAAACAAAACAAAACACTTACTGTAAGTCATATGATCTGATGATGCTGTCTGTTCGTTCTTGACAATATCTCCTTCTAGTTTTTCCTATATATTTATCATAGAATTAGAAAAAAAGTATCAAACGAAAATAGGTCTGAATTAAACGTACGACTATGTTCTGTTGTGATGTTTCGAATTGATATTTAACATTCGAATTCCAATGAATCGACAAAGTATTCAGGTCACCAAACTAGCAAGATAAAACCAAATGGAATGGTTTATTCCGATAGTAACCCATGTCATTAAAATCGCCTCACTCTGCCGATTAATCGCGATTTTTCTGCTGGGTTTTCATAGTGACACGCCAAAAAAATCGGTGATTAATCGCCGCTTTTTTTCACTTGTCACTATGGAAACTCAGCGGAAAAATCGCGATTAATCGGCAAAAGTGAGGTGATTTTGATGACATGGGAATAGCTTACTTTGTATATGACCGGCGCTTCTTCTTTCGATACCATTTGTTCCCATTCAGAATTCATTGTCTATTCTGAAAACAAAAAAAAAACGACATTCGATTTTTTTTTCCAAAAAAAACACATTCATGAACCAAATCCATACTTGAAATTCGACGTAATTGAGTGTAATATTAAATGAAAATGGATGATCAGGTTTTGTCGTATGATCTTCATAGGCAACGTGAATATTGCTAATTGACAATTCCAGATTACGAAGAATATGTAATTTTAGTCGTTCCATAAATGTACCTTGGCGCTTCAGAGCCGATTTAGGATTTTCTGCAAAAAACCAATTCATTAAAGAAAAAAAGTGAAAGAGTAAAATTCATATTTTTGGTCTGGGACTCAAAAATTAGAGTTTTTTTGCCGAAAAATCCCAGCCCGGACGGGTGGTCCCGAAAAACAATGACTAATTTTGCAAAATTCGGAAAAATGTCAAGGGTATAAGTGTCGAATGCTTACCGGATTGAGAGAACCCTTGTGTCCGGGATTTCTTTCTTACGACAACTAGAGCTAAACTGGGATGTCTATGTTTTTTTTTCTCGTCAAAGAATACGGTGTCCTTCGCTTAGGCGACCCCAAAAAGAACTGGAAGCCTAACCAAAAAACGTGATTTTTTTTCTCTGTACTAATTTTGCCAAACTTATGACTGCCAAAACTGAATAACACAATATTTTTTCAAACGAAAAAAAAATAGACACCCTCACTTAGGTCAAAGTTATCGCAGGAAAACTTTCATCTCAGTCGGTTATACCATGCGGGAGAAAAAGGATGAAAACCTCAATTTTTCCTCGAGAAAAACGAAAGATAAATTATTTCTGTTTGTAATAGAATTTGTTTTCCCCAACCGATGAAATCAAAAACTGGCCATGTTCAGCGGTGTTAGGGGTGTCCAGTTACCGTTACCAGACAGTTATGTTATTAGGTAACTGGTAACGAAAATTAGATGAGTTCGGTTATCTTTTGGTAAAATTTGAAAGTGCGCTTTTCGATGATTCACATAGTGAATAAAGAATTCAAATTTATATACTTTGGACCACGCTCTATTCGATGGCCAAAAAAATTTTTTTCTTCGGATATACTTATGTTGGGAAAATTATATAGACAAAAATTACGCTAAAAAAAGACGCAGTGTAGGAAAACTGAATTAAACGCAAAAATAAGGTAAGCAAATTCTTCGGATCTCTCGAAAACCCAGACGAAATCCTCTTTGAACTTCGTAAAACACATCATTGGAAAGAGCATATCTGAAAACTTATAAAAAAAAGTGTTTAGAGACTTTCGGACTGCTTCCGTAGCAAATATCAAAATCCTTATTCAAAATTGTGACACTATGCTTCGTCCAGGAAATAATGTTTCGATAGAGCAATAATATTTTAGAGGACAAATTAACAAAAAGATTTTCAAGGTCGAGGAATCCGAATTTTACTGTAGTTTTTCAAAATTTTGACGTCAATTTTCCCGGTCCCAGATGAATAGAAAAAGAAAATCCCTGTTTAATCCCTCTGGGACCCAGAAAGTTGACGTCAAAATTTTGAAAAATTACAGTAAAATTCGGATTCCTCGATCCCGAGAACCTTTTATGGATTTTAAGACTTTTAAAAATTATTGCTTTCCTGTAATCTTACTTCCTCGACGAAAATAAACCGATTCATAGAACACGAAATTGAAAAATTTTCGTTTCAAGTTTGAGAAAAGAAGATGTCCCCTTAAAATGTGAAACACGCAATAGAGTTGCTCTACATGGATAAGATTGACGGCGTTACGAGAGTGACAAATAGATTGTTTGAACTTTGAACTTCAAATCGAGTGGACATCTACACAAACACATAGCGATCAAATCGATACAGAAAAATCATGTGTCAAATAATAGCAAACCGGTATTAGGTGTGAGAAGTAGATAGAATCCATCGATGGTGACCGTGATCGCATGTGTATACAGATGTTTCCATAGAATGTGAATTGATAATTTTTCTAAATATTTCATTCAAATTTTTCGAATAAATATGATTTGAGAAAACGTAAAATCATACTAAGGTAACCAGTAGCAACCGTAACCGGAAGATTGAAATTGGCCTAATATCATAAAAATCATCATTTTGAATGTCAATCTGATTTATAGAGACTTACGAATGCGTTTGATTTTAAATTCAAATTTTTGAGAACAACATCATCTTAAAAAAAATAAACACCAACAATGGATTCCATAACTAAGAATTATAATCTTACCATCCCATAAGTCAATTTTGAGCTTTTTTGAATCTAAATTCTCAATATAATCTCCCAAATATTTATTGAGTACATAGACGGCTAAATGTTCGAACACCATTATGATGTTATTTTGATAATAGCACGTCAATAATTGCACACGTTTGTGAAGATAAAATAGAAAAGTTTCGCAACAATTTAAATCTAGGAAAGACACAAATGTTTAAAAATTTAATCAACTAACGGGTGGTCCAGAATCTGACGGGCAAACATCAACGCCTCAGCTTGCACAGTAACAAGACGCGCATTTTGCAATTGCATTGCAAGTCTGTGTTCTAATACCAAGGAATGGAGACTCTTTTATGCCGTTTTCTATGGGAAAAAAAATTCAAGTCATGACTTGTGACTTGGAAACCCGTAACTTGTCTAGAGATACGAATAGAACTAGATTCCAAGAAGGCAGTAGTGGTTTTTTTTCTCAGTGATTTTACTCTTTAAAGAGAAAAATGTCTGCTCTTATAAAGATGTCTGTTAAAAAAACGAACACATTGGAAGTATATATATAGAGGAATGACAGAGGAATAAGAGAGGAATGGTCGGGGAACAGAGGAATAGGGGAACAGCGGAATAGACGAATAGCGACCGACCGGAATACATTTTGAAACGTTCCCTTAGTGTTCAAATAAAGGAAAGAGGTGCAAGTTAGTTTACAGAGGACAAAAGGGAGCAACGAGGTAATTTATGATTATTTTTAAAAGAAAATGTTGTGTTTTTTTATTTCTTTATCATCGTCTTTGAATTTTTCTATTGTTTTGGTTGTAGGTCCTTTTAAAACTGTGTAGTGTTTTGTTTTTGTTTCGTTTTCTTTCTGGTTATTTTTTTAATTTTGATTCTTTGGAGTTGTGTGAAGATACAGTATCCACAAAAGATAAGAAACTCTGTTAACCGGGAATGGAGAATATCGCTCGATTTTTCTTACCAGAAAATGTCACAAACAAATTGTCACTGTGTAAAAAAAAAGGAAACAAAATGTAAATAAGCGAAAAAGGCAACAGAAAGATTATAGTTCTTTCTTTATAAGAATTGAAACACTGCGGAGATTCAAAAGCGAGATTCACGGAGCTATGTCTTCTTCCCTCCTTCCACTTCCTCTTCTTCTTCTTCTTCGGTTACTCTCATTAATTCCAAATACTCATACAGCATGCATCTCAGCGATGAGACCACCATTAATAATTTACTCTCTAGCGGAGGTGCCAATACCATAGTATCTCTCTGCGCCAGTGCTGTGTTCAAGCTGAAAAATCCAGTTATTTTTACAGCTCAAAATCAAGAATTGTCTACACAAGGATATCCTACAGGATCTACACGTGCGACTCTTGTTGTGATGGGTGTTAATCAAACTGCAGCAATTATAGGAAACTGCGGACAATGTCCTGATTTGAAACTTCGCAATATCCAAGTAAATGGCAACAGCGGCTATGGGCCTATTCAGTGGTAGCGCCAATATTGAGATTGGAGGTCCTACAGACAACCAACTTGTAGACCATGTATATTCCTATGAACCTCGAGGATGGTCATGCGTGCACATCACCGAGAGTGGGACAAGTGGATGCAAGAATGCAACTATCACCAACAATGAAATAGGACCTGCAGGCAATTCCAAAGGTCAATGGGTAGATGGTATATCCATGGCGTGCACAAGGAGCTTGGTTGCAAATAATGTAATTATAGATGCTACAGATGGTGCTATTGTGATTTTTGGTGCTCCTTTTACGACAGTGAGAAACAATATCATCATTGCTGCATCTCGCGTGCTTTTGGGAGGCATAAACATGGTGGATTATGCTCCGTATTCGGGAAATTATACTGACGTCACAGTTACGGACAAAAAAACAATACTATTTGGGCTCAATCAGCATTCATAAAAACAGGCATCGCCATTGGACCAGCTGTGTGGAGAGGAGATACAACAAACTACAACCGCAACGGTATAGTTCGGAATAACACAATTAAAGGCGATAATATGGGTTATGGTATTATTGTCTCTGGCGCACAGAGTTTTACTGTCGTAGACAATATTTCTACCGGGAAGTACAGTGGTGCTTTCACTTCGAGCTGTTACACACCCAATAATGCGCCTCCCATGGCATTCCTGAAGAGTACCAGAGCTGACGGTAATTTCCAGCCAAACTTTGTTACAGGCAGAGCCCAGTACGTCACCTGCATAGATCCAGGTCTATCTGGTGCTTACACCTATCAGTCGGGACAGTTGAACTTGTATTCGAACCAACAAACCAATTTATAAAATGCTACTCTCATCTTGCAAAATGGCGGTAATTTGGTTCTTTACCAAGCGGATTCCATCAAGTGGTCATCCAATACTTGCTGTAGTGACTGCAGCAATAAGCAATGCAGACTCACCTTCGACAGTGCCGGTCAGCTGGTTATATACAAGAACACAACAATATTAACTTTATGGCCGCCTGCTTATACTGGCTCCTTGGAATCTAGTTCTATTCGTATCTCTAATACGAGTGCTTACCTCACACTCACCGATCGGAACAACAGTATTGTATGGGCCTCTTCCTACGATTTCTATCCGTCCTTTCGGCTCAACAACGGTGGTCTCATCCGCCAAATGTCATCCACCACTCCTATTTATCTTACCTTGTTGAATAACGGAAACCTTGCTGTATATAGTGGAGTCATCAGTACAGGAACGTTATTGTGGAGTACTTCTCTCACCGGAAAAACCTGCAAGAATGGTTGTTTTCTCTCATTTCAAGGAGATGGAAATATTGTAATCTACGGTGATCAAGGTGCTCTGTGGGCAACAGCCACAAATCCTTCGGGCACAAAGTTCTCTCCTTATTTGCAAGTCTATAATTCTATTGGCGCTGTTATTTAGCACTCTTGATTAAAATTATTTATTTTAAAGATCTGTATTCTACTTGTTCTGTTTTGCCAGTTTTAATTTAAAGTTAATTTTCCAGTACTTTTGCCACTGCCTGTACCCCACCGATTCGTTTGTTGAAACGCTTAGTGTGAAAATCGTGATAAGCAGTGAAAATGCTAGGCTTCTTGTTCTGCATAAACAGTGTACTGAGAAAACAATCTTTCAGATCCGTCTGTAGCGTCTTATTTTCTGTCTAGTCGAAGTCTTTTATTTTCATGTTTTGTGTGTTTCGATTAGGAAGAAAAGAGAGGTGCGCAGTTCAAAGCTAACATATGGTCTATTTTTTGTCCAAGCTATGCAGACTAATCTTTCTCTTCTCTTTTTGTCGATTTCTTCCAGATTTTCTGAGCAAAGTGTACTCATCTTCTTATTGCTGTTTGTCACTCATATTTTTATTTCTAAAAATAATTTAAAAAAACCACAGGTTGAGTGTCTCAACATTTGGAATTTAAGTCGAAGGCGAAAGCGAAGCGAAGAGGAAGTTTGATAGACTAAGCTCAACATGTTTTTTAACGCTGAGCAGTTTGTTGATGGTTGGTTGCATCATATCCTACTGCATAGAACAAAAGCGTTTTTTAGGAAATATCAGCTGTATATTGAAACGAGGAAACGCTATATTCGAATCTATGATAAGTGGTACTGCAGATGTGGCACGAGGAAGCTCGCCTAAGAAAAAGTGATTAAGTTTCAGTATACCTTTTCTTTTCTCACTCCAACGACGTTCGTTGTCAAAAAAATAACTAAATTTACATTGGAAATTCTTATGTCTTTCATTTTATTACCGATGTTTTGTATCATTGCGGGTTTTGTCCCTACACAGTCATTTCATACATAGCAGTTGTTTTGTTGGCTTTTTCCCTTTAGCCGTTCTGCTAAAAATAAGATGCGCATTGTAACGTATTTTGGTTGAAATGTTTCTTGATTGTGCTACTCCATTAACAATATACGACTCAAGGAAAATTTCATTCGATTGAGATGCATTTTCGATCACCAATATACCAGATCTTGGAGCTTAATTACTGTGAAGAATATTGTTGTTTCTTCGATTCACAGGATTTTCAACCCTAAAATCCTTGATTTTTAACGATTTTCTTGCAATTTTTCTATAAGTCAGAAACAAACCAATAATTTTCATAAATAAAATTTATCTCTGTAATCTGCGTTGAGAACTTCAGATCAATTAGATGACTAATTGTTACGATGATAGATTTGATCACCAAATACCCGGTTTTGTCTTAAAATTCCTATAGAATCGAAACACTGAATCTTAGAAGTGGACTTTGGTTTATAATCCAAATTCATAAAGGCGCGCATCGGGTAAAAAGTTCTACCCTCTAGCTATTGAACTTCGACATATCAGGGGCGTAGTTATTGGGAGATGGTCACCCCTCCCCTGATTTTAGAAAAGTTATTTTTGCTATCGTCGCATAAAAGTTTTGATAGCTTGGGTGGTCTCACCCGGTATTGTCTTTAAGGCTTCGCGCCTCAAAACAAACTTTTTTTTGAAAGAACAAATTTTTTTGGGGAGAAAACCACTCCCTCCCCCTGCCACCAAGCCCCTGAGCCTAAAGAATGTGTGCATTGCTAACTAAAGCTGACGATTCTACTCATAGCTCCTTGGTAAATTTTCAAAACTTTTCCTTGCTTGTGCATTTTCTATCAATTTAAAAATTTTCTTTTGATATTAGGAATGTTTTGTTGTGCACCAAATGCGCAATTTTTTTATCGAAGAAAAATTGACAGATTTTTTTCCTCGTGTACTCGTAGCAGATGTGAGAAAACAATGTTAGTAATGGCTAAATGATAAAATTTCTTTTCTTCTCATTCTTTAGCAAAAAATTGTGTATCACGAGGAGTGACGCTACGAAAAAGACTGAATTAATCTTTCTCTTTTTTTGTTACAGATAATAATTTACTAGAAGAAATATGGCATGGTATTTCAAAAATGTTGTTTACTTACTTTTCCTTTCTGTTCGTTCTGCTCTTACTTCGTATGGTCTCGAATAATATCATTAGTTGCATGCACGCACGTACGATAATAATCATATTGTTGTCGCTGTCACACATCTGTTGACTGCCAAAAAAAATACGAGTATTTCATCAAGCTTGGATATGTATTTACACAGATTTGGTTTGTTTTCAAGATACAAAAACACATACAAAGACAAAAGAAAAATTACTATTTTGGTTTTCCAAAAAACGGACACAAACAAAACGAACAGTTTGTTGAGCGAGTTCTCAAAGTGTAAAATGTGCAAGCAATAAATGTCGTAGTCTTCTCTTGATGATACATTCATTTTTGTTTCCTTGATGTTTTTTTTACAAATGTACAAGCTTCTAGAAACGACACTAGTTTTGGACGATTTACAAACAAAATTCAACTTGTTTTCATTAGCAACACGACTGATGTAATAAAACAATTTCATCCACAACACATCAAGAGATAGACACAACCTAACAAACACATATAAGACAACTCAGTAAAAAAGCTATGTTCTAAAAAACAGAAAAATAAGAAAACCAAACAGAATACGAAAGACACATAAAAAAAACGAAAATTTGGTCCAATCCCAGCACTGAGTGAAGACTAAAATAAAAAGTCGAATCTCTTCGTGAGATCACACAGCTACCCAGCGCCTCAACAGAATTCATTTTTGTTTTTTTCTCAACTTTCATGATTATCAAACACACTAAAGAAACTACCGGTGTAACGAAGCAAAATGAAAGCTAAAAAAACAAGAAAAGTGAAGACAAAAGAAAAATGTTAAAAGCAACCAAGTGTTTCTTCTGCTTCATGTACTATTATAGATATATAGTCATCAGCATCATTAATGTCACGCCAAGAAAACAAATAGAAAAATAAACACACACGTTCAGTTGAGCGACACATACTTCTCATTAATCATCCTCGATAAATAAAACTTACTCTTTTCATATTACTCGAAATTGAACTACGTTTAAGCCCAATATGGGCAAACAACACGGATAATACAAATAAGGTAAACGGTATCAAGAATATATGAGATCGAGAGAGAAAGCGTACTATCAATTTATGATGTACTTTGCTATAGTTCAGCAGCAAATGCACGCTCATACACACAGAAAAAAGACACATAGAAGAAGAGCATTCCTCTCTCTAAACACATTAAAACAAAAAAAAAGAAAGATTAACATATATATGTATCACTGTCCAAATAAATACTTGAGCGAACCACACAAACACATACAAACCTACAAGACACAAAAAGAAAACCAAAACAAAATTGAACACGAGCAAGACAGAGAATAGCAGCAACAACAATAAAACGATAGAAAATCAGATGAGCATTTCTTTAAGATGTTACATAACAGATGAGAAAAGAAAAATGCTACGGATCCCAAAAAATATAAAAATATAATGTATATATGTACAGAGGAGAGAGAGAGAGAGACAGAAGAGAAACACAAAAAAAACCGGGTTAACCAAAATTGTGTTCGTTTGAAAATTTTTTCGTTTCATTACTTATTGTTCCTGACGAGGTTGATGGGATACTAGCAAAGGTGATGGCAAACGTGATTGATGTCTGAATACAAGCTGTCCAACAGTTTCATTTCCCATTGCAGTCTCATCTGATGATAATAAAACTAAATTTGTTATTAGTGATTGCTGTTGTTCACTATTTGAATGGTGTTGCGGCTGTATCTGTTCATTATCGTCTACTTCTGTGTAAGTCTAAAATATTAAAATATAGTATATAAATAAAATTGGGTAATAATAGTAAAGATAAGAAAAACTCACAAATTTTCTTTTTTTCGGAGGAGCGGTAACAGTTGTACGATGTTGAGGCGACATTGGACTGTTATGTTGTTCTTGCATTTTTCCTTCGATAAATATTGGACTTGTTACGACTGAATGATGTTTTTGTTGCTGTTGCTGATCATAATTAATAATATTAACTGTTGTCGTTGTTTGTTGTTGAAATTGTTCATTCAACATTTGTTGTATACGAGCCGGTATTTCAAGACTTGTTGATGATGATCCTACTGTGGATGGTGGATAATTCGGATGTTGCTGATATACATGTACAGGTCGGTGAGCGTGATAAACATATTGATTTGGTTGTTGGTGATTTGTTGTCGGAGATGTGTGTGTTGCTTCAGTATTTGTGTTTAATTGGGGTGTCGTCATGACGCTAATTGATGATGCTGATAGCTCATTTGGATGATGGTTATAAGAATGCTCGGCGGGTGTTAATGAATCTAGTACATTATCACCTAAAAATGACAACTTCGGTTATGTATTTTCAGCCTATGTTAAAACAGAGGAAAATAAGAGAGAAGCCAAAATTGGTCGATGGGTATCGGTAATTAGAAAGATAGTGAAGTCATTCACAATTGTTGGTCATTAGACTCTTTAAATAAGCGGAAAGTTTTACCTTCTAAATGTCGAATAGCTTCAACAATTGTTTGCAAATTTCTTCTAGAAACTGTTTGTTCATTGTTGTGTGGTATTGTTGTCATTGTCGATGTTAAATCTGATGAATTTTGCTGATTAGTTGTATCCATACTACTTGCTCTTGACTGACACCGTTCAACAATAACAATGCCATTATCATTTTCAGCTTTACTATTGGAATCAAGTGAATTGGTTATATATCGTTGTATTGGTATGTTAGGACCACCATGTTGTTTTAATATAAAATACGTATCAGTGGCAGGAGCCAATGGAGCAATTGTTGTTGTATTATTACTATTGTTATTATTACTATTGTTATTATTACTGTTCGCGGTTGGCGATGAACGCGAACCTGTATAGTTGGGCGAGGTAATGTCTGATGGCGATCTTTTTTGCATTTGGTCCGGAACGGATTTGATAATAGAATGCTGTTGCACAACATTTCCATGATTGACATTTGTATTAAGTGTATTTGCATTTTGTTGGTTATTGTTGCTGAACGATGATGTTGCTGCACGAGATGAAGATGAACGATTGTCATAGACTGTTAAATATGATTGTGTATCGGATATATGTCGCGGTGAGGTACCCACATACAGCCCTCGATTGTGCTAAAGTATACACAGAAAAAAACATTATACATACACATTATTAAGACTGGCTTAGTAGTGTAGTGTCTAAATCTATCGGTCCACTACACGTTCATACAAGCCACATATTCGAGACATATTGCGCTCTTTCACGATTAATGAAAGTGGGTTTCCTCCTTTATTGTAAGAAGTAACGCTTACACGATCCTCCTTTTGTACTTGAACATAATGTGCTACATTTTCCAATGCATGCCAATTTTGAATAATTGCTTGATGTTTCCTAAGATCATGTATTAAACGTGTTTGTTCTTCATTTGATAATTTTGAGCTTAAATCGGATGATACTTCTTCATCATCTTTTTCATTTAACAACAAAACAGCCTCATCAGGATCTAAACAAACATCCGTTGTTCTCATTATATTTTACGATACAACAGAAAAGAGAGAAAACGTCATCTACTGGGAATACGTGATAATCATCGACATACTGTGCTAACAGATCAGACATGACAGTTAAAAAAACTAAAATCCAGAATTACTCAGAAAATCACAGCTGCAATTCTTTGCTGATAAAAAATCGAACAAAGAATATTTTTCTATAATCGGGTTGATACATAAAAGATAATTTTGTACCTGTTGTTGATAGTCCTCTTTGTGCCTGTAAAACACTTGTAGAATCAATTTGAAAACTTTTAATTAAAATACGGAACTGTTCATTTTGTGTTTGTAATTTGTCTTTGTCTGTTTGAAGACCTTTTATGTGGTCAGCTGCACGTTGTAAAATACATGCCTGAAAACAAATAATAGATGTATTACAAACAGGAGAAGTCTATTTGCAAATCGGATGGAGAATCTTTCTGTTCTAAATGTCATAATTTTCGCGAGAAGCTCAGAAGAAGTTTTAATGCCGAATGAAACTTCAAAATCTCACATCTATATTAACCAAAAAACAATAGACGAATAAAGGTCTACATTAGATGTCCATGTCGAGGGCCAACTTTTCGTTTTGAACATTTGTCCATTTATTAACAATGTTTAGCGAAAAGATTTCCGCTTCCTTAGTTCAGATTTGCAGTTTTCTTCGGTGTCGTATGATTGATGTCAATTACAAAAAATTTTACTTTTTGAAAAAATCAGTATGAATAAAGAGGCAGGTAGTAAATTCAGGTGTACAGATATAAAGTGCAAAAAAGTAGCCTACTTTTAAGAAATAAAACGCCTTATATATATGAGTCATTTGCAACTTTATTATACAATTGGTGAAAAATAATGAAAGTGACTTTAAACAAAATTTGATTAGCATATCTTGTTCTCCGTTGCTTTCTGAGTCTAGAGCCCAAATTTCCCGACTACTACATGCGTAGTGACTGAGATACACCTCAACAAACTTCGGCAGGTTCCGTTCTCTAGGTTTTAGGCTATAATGATCTCGAGGTTGCTTTAAAAGCGGATATATCATACACCATTCGATAGGTCTCGTAGAGAGCTGTCGATTCATACCATATGTAACTTAGTTTGACCTGCACATTAAACGTTAGATCGTTAAAACCCTAATTTCGAATGTGTATTCAAAAATAAAACGCAAAGCTTGTAGTCTACAGGCGATCAGTCACTTTGGAGAAACTCGACATCAAAACTACGTAAATTTATGGATAGATACGTTGAGCAGAATATAAGGAGTCAAAATTGCTGTTATAACTTGGTTTTTGACTAAAAGAACCGAAAAAACTTTTAGAGTAATCTCGATCTACATTTCTGGGTATATTGTAATTTTTTCCTACTTAGGTATGTTCTAGAGACTGCGAAATTGCACCACTTGTACAACTTTTGAAACTCTTTCTTGTGGGTCAGTGAGGCAAATCCTTGTAAAACAGCGGATGTCAAAAGTTGGAAAATCTCGATCTACAAAGTGAACATAAAACTGTTTTCCATTTTTTCGCCCGGTAAGAACGACATTTAACAAAGCATTTTTACTCAGTTAGGTGAAGCCGCCCTTGCTCTTTCTTATGAACACCTCACATTCCCAAAAAACGTTTTCTCAAGTGCCCAGTTTTATTTTTATCTCGGTCTACAAGTTGTCTGTAAAACAATTTTTGCCATAGAGGAGCATAAACAAAAAAACAAAACAAGCATGAAGGCACACAGTTTGATAGAGCATTAAATGCTCTACAAAACGTACTATTTGCTTTTCGTTCCTTCCTTTGTTAGAAAAACTTACTTTTCTCTCAATAACTCTAAAAAACATGTTTTTTTCGACTTTTGCTGGGTTTATCTCGGTGAGTTGTTGAGATATCGAGCTTAGACTTTCTGTGGTAGTGAGGCAAGCAAACAGCGACAAAACAAAAAAAGAATTTCGAAATCCGTTTTCAGAAACGGGAGTAATTTTAAAAATACGACAAAAAGTCAATTGTACAATAAAGTTGCAAATGACTCATATGTACGTTTATTTCACATGGATAAGCACATGAAGCAATCTGTCCTTTTCTAACATTTTTCTTCAAACGAAGAAACATGCTTCCTATAACGTATCTACATATATATATATATATATAGGATATCATACGTCAGGTGTATATTTGACGATACTAACGTTTTTTCTCATTTTAAACGAGACGAAAAACAGTGTCTGTTATATAAGGAACTGTATTTCTTAAAGTAGACCCCGTGACGGGAGTCCCGTGGGACTCTCGCGGGACTTTGGCCAAGAGTCTCGACTAGGGAAACATTTGCAACACCAACACTATCGTGTATCATCACTTACTTTGCTAAGTTTTTCTCCACATGAATGAGGTATGAGTTGTTTTAAACTTTGAAAGCCGGTATTAATTGATTGCATACGACGCCTTTCATTTGAATTAGCTATTTCGCGTCGCACACGTTTTTCATGTTCTAATTGTGAATTGGGTGACATTGTACCAACACGGCTGAAACGAAACAAACGTTGATAAGTGCTGACATCTATATATGCATAACCTCAGACGTAGATATTCATCAAAACAATACTCATGAATCAAGTTGTTTTTCTTCTTTCACATTCCAGAAAAAGATTATAGTTCTAATCAAACTAGTCAATACTTCAAGATAACAAAAAGGAGTGTTGAAACACAGGACGTATGTGTTACAAATTTATCTATACTAAAAAGGATTTTTCTTCGATAACAATTCAACACTGTTTTATGTCCGATAAGTTTTCCCGGACATATTCATCATTACATGTGTGATGTAATATCTCTGACCGAACACAAATAGTCAGCTCTTTTCGAAGTTCGACCAACCATTAAATCCTCGACACGTTAGAAGAGATTTTCGGTTTGCCTTTGAAGATAGCTTCTCTACTATTTGATATTTGATTAGAATGTTGTAACTATTTTGGATTCATAAGCACAAATGTTTTTTCAATGGTTCACAGAAATATCTTTTTCAAAAGTTTTTTCCTTTTCCACGAGCTATAAAAAATTCTGTTCTCAAGAGTCTTTGATTTTATAACTATAAGAATGTAAGACAAATGTTTCTTTTTTTACGTGTCAAAAAACGACATCAACTAGCAGCTACCAAATATAATCAGCTATTTATTACACGATGTAAAACATTCCCAGCATTTTCTTCTTACACCTTCAGATAGAATTTCTAAAAAACCCGTGTACCAAAAGTCAGACAAATTATGTTTATTTTTATTAGACTTGAAATTCATTTCCATGCTGAATATTTGAACAGAAGAAAGAAAAACTTTGCTGCTGTGAATAAAAATCATTTCTCTTGTTTATTGAAGAAACTCGTATTCTTTTCTTTCCTTTTCTCCCCGTGTTCCAACGCATCGCGTATATATCTATATATATATATGTGTATGTGTTGTCTATATCATTGTATCCACATTTAGAAATCGTGACCCGTACTGAACCAGTGTGAAGATAAAATGTAATCGTACTAGATGGAAAAAAAACTCAAAGAAAAGAAAAGAGAACAGAACACAAACACCTCCGAGACCGTGTACGGCAAGAATAATAATGAACAAACATCTTTTTTTAACTATCTTCGAGACATATATATGGAACTTTTATTTTTCTTATTTTTGCTTCCTCTGTTGGTCACAGGCCAACATCTTTTGTTCAAAAAATAAAAAAATGAAAAAACTCGTCTTTCATTCAGAAGTAACAGCCCTTTACTGTACTGAAAACTGGAATGACAGTACTGGGATGGAAAATCAAACTGACGGAAGTGGGAGTGGAAACTTCCAATGAATATCAGATTGAAACAACATACGAAGAAGAGAATTATAAAAAGTCCTTAGAAGTTTGTGGGAATACAAAATTTAGCAACTCTAATTCGGAGCACATAGCAGCTAAGAGAATGGAGCATTTCATTCAACTGTATATATTATCATCATAACATGTTCTCAGGTTCATGGATCGCTGAGCCCCTTGTCGTATATGATACCAAATAATATTTGCACTAGGGTCCAATAATGGCAGGTGTGTCATGCCATTATGTAATCGACTAAGGACGCTTTCGAAGACGTCTAAACTAACGCCCTCACCTTTACAGGCATGTCTGCGTTTTTAGTAATAAAATCACACTTATAACTATTGAAGAAAAGCGTATACCACTTTTGTTATATGGATGTAGGTCATGCCGGTCTGACAAAAGATATATTTGTTTACCTGATGTGACTTATTTTCTGAGATTCTGGCATCATTAGATAAAACGCATTTGGGTCGATATCATTTGAATATCGTGAATAAGTTTTGTTCATACAACAGAAAAGTTTATTAAAAAGGGAGCGGAAATATACGAATAAAAAACCGAAGCCACAAGACGATATGTGTTGATAATCAAATATTCAAAACAACGCGACGTGATGTGACGATTACTAATAATAATAATAAATACAAATAATTGTCGATAGTAGATTATTATAAAAGATCTAAAATTGATAAAATATTTAAGAACAAAATGTTCCGCTTCCAGTCTCTGCAATATGAGTGTACATCTATAGTAGTCAAAAAAAAAAAAATACACAGTATGTTGATGCATTCATTAACAACGCATACATCAGCTGAAAAAGAGAGGAAAATTTTGTACTTTGAAGCTACTATATACATACGTTCGAGTAGACGATGAAGTTTTTTATGCTGAATTATTTGGATGAGTGTGTGTATGTGTGTGTGCATATTTGCTTTTTTTGTCGTCGATAGAGAGAAAAGAGTGAGAAGAAAAAATAACAGCTGAAGTTAACTATTTGATTCATGTATATGTGTATGGAGACCGAGAATAAACGAACGACAATATGTGTGTTTTGAATGATTAGACTATCTATTCTTACTTGTATGTTGGCATATAGAAGAAAGACGAGAGAAGAACTGAGACAATAGAAAGCCAATTGGTTTGGAAAAAAAAATAAAATGAGTACAACACATATCCGATTCGTTCGTGGCGGGCGATAGTTATTATATCTAGATCACATGATATGTTTTTTTCTTTTTTCGTTTGTTCTGTTGTCTGGTTGGCAATATTCCAACTCTTTTCTCTTTTACCTGTAGTTATAGAAGGCAGAATGAAAATAACGGAAAGGGGCAGGGGGTCTACTGATCATACTGTATTATCTGTAAAACATATGAATTTAAAAAAACACAAGGAATGAAATGGTATTTGGCATATTGCCAAACCATCATTCGAAAAAACAGAAAATTGGTCATATGAACTATAATGTATATATATATATACGCAAGAAATAAGGAAGATAGATGTATTTTTAAGACAAAGAGAAAAGAATGGAATTTATTGGATTATTGCCAAACATATTTTGATCGGCGATTTCTAAACTAGAAGAAAAGATATATATTATTTGCAAATATCTTGATTTTATAAAAGAAAATGCGTAAATGTATAAAATAATGGTGGAGAAGAGGAAAAAAAGAAATCAAATCAATAAATCAACAAAATAACTACTACATGGCGCATATATAGTACACTGTGATGCTGCACATACACGTACACATGTGCAGACACTAGTTATTTTCAGGTATAACAAATTATCGTAGAACTAATAATAGACATATGGTGCGTGGCCTGATATTCAAGCGTATTAGCTTCAGTGTCACTAAGGTACTGACTATTATAAAACTGTGATCCTCACATTTGCCAGTAGAAGTTTTAAGTTTAATCAAGTTTCAAATAATAGTTCATTTTATCATGTTTGTCCCAAACGGTTAAGTACTGTTACTGAGACATTCGCTGAGAACGGCATTTTGAACTTATCTAGTGTATTTTGATGAAAGTATTGAAAATAGAGAATTACTTATCTAGTATTTCTAGACTGGGCATGTATCGGTTAAAACCGATAAATTCCACCTTTTCCCTTGAAACGGATTGCATTTTTAAGAAATTTTCTTTTTTATAAGTAATGGATCAACAAAATACTCTCATCTTGTAGAAAAATGTTTGCTTTACAAAACCCAGTTTATTAGAATAATTTTAGAAAATCAGTTTTCGCTGAGAAAAACAAAAAAGGTTTTTGGGACAAGCGTATAATTTCAATCAGTTATAACCGATGCATGGCTATTCTGGACGAAAACAAATACTTTTAATTACCAACTGAATCATTTTGTTTTTTTGATAATACGATGAATATATCTGACAAAAAATAATAGAGTTATATACACTGATTTAAGCATAGTTTACTAGAGACGTTGCGTGAAATACTTTTCACATCATCAGTCAAAATGTACAATAAACTAAAATAATGAATAAACTGATGATGTGAAAAGTGTTTCACGCAATGTCTCTAATAACCTATGCTTAAATTAGTGTCTATAATCCTTATTATTCTTTACTTTTGATTAGATTACAACAACAACTTTTTGCCTTTGCACAAGAACCACAAACCTATTTGTTGTTAAAATTAGTACGATATAGAAAATTTTGGCAACTGTAGTCCAACTTTCTGTTTGAGTAGCTAAAATAACGACAAGTGTTTAAGAGTGTCCTTGTATGTTATTATACAGTAGTATGAAAAAACATAAGACCATGTGATATGATATGATATTTCAAAGTATGAGAAATACCTGTATTATTCAATATATAATATATGGAATATATACAATGTGTTCTGTCCGAAGCTGTAGTCAAAATTTTATCAGCTTACTAAATTCTTGGAACAAAAATTTCTTTTTTCTATGAGAAATCACGAGATCATCTTATGTTTTTCTTTTCTAAAAGGGTTTGAATAATTTTCAATGGTATTATTATTAAGAGTGTAAAAAAACGGAGTGTATCGAATACATTTTAAGTCACATAATAGCACAATTTTGATGGTTTTTGAAAATTAGTTTTTTTGTAGAACTTCTTTGGATTGGATTTAATACAGCTCAAAAACCAGTAAAAGAGAGAATAACCTTTTTCTCTCCTTTCTAGTTGTACTGAACAATGTTCGATCTGCAAACGTTGTACAATTGTCCAGGACCAAGAATGAATGTGGTTACAAGTTAGAAGTCGCTTTTTACCGTATAAATCTCACCAGTATCTAAAACCACCAGCAGTAAAAGTAGAAAAGTTCAAATTTTTAGTTAAATTAGGACGTAAAAGTTTGATAGATTTAAGGAAATGGATCCATTAGGCCCAAAAATTTGTAGATGTGTTCGGTTGAAAGCTCTTGGTAGTTCAATTTTTAAACTATATGCATTCTTTTTGGCATTTGTTGAGGACTTAATCGTACATTGTCTAATTTTGTCCGTATACTCCCAGCGAGATCGTCAAAAAATTGTTTGCTTAATTAAAAAAATTCTTAACACCAAAATTTTTTTTTTATACTCAAAATCTTTGCAGTTAACGGTTTATTTCGATCCATGCTATCATCAGTTGAGATTATATTCCCTCTATCGTACTACGGATTTATCGACTCGGATCAGTCTGTCTCCTTAAATTTCAATTCAATCAACAAAAATATGACTTCAAAACCGACGTATATGATACACTATACAGTGAAATCTTATGATCTTCCAGTTTGATCTTGACTAATATTTTAAAGTAAGAATGAATCGTTTAGAAACTTTAATAGCATAAGCTTGACTATTTGATATTTGTCAATTAATTCTCTTATATGAAAATTAAAATTAATAAGATAAATAAACCTCAAGTTTTGAAACTTAAAAGTTTGAAACTCTCGTTTACATCGCGGCAGATTTCGATTAAAATCTCGTTAATCCGAGTAGACATTGGTTATCATCTTGTATCTGACTTATGCGAAAAGAAGAATATTTTCTAATTGTTTTTTGAAAGAATATCAAGTCTGTTAAAGATCTACAAAGATGCTTAGTAATATTTTCTTTGAACTTGATCGGATCACATCAGACTTGAAAAAAAGACAACGGAAGTTATAAGTGAAAATTCTATTGTTTCGCAAATTTGAAGCCGCATTGTGATTAAACGTACATATATATATAATAAGAACAATATCACCATTATTAAATAATCGTCAATTATATCACTAATATGAATAAAAAGGAATTAATTTTTTTATTTGCTTTTGTTTGTGTAAATAATTCCTCTTTTGTTTAAACAAACTGTAGCCACTTAAAAAAATTCTCTCTTTTGGCTTGACGATATTTTTTTAATTTTTCTACGATAATACTTGATGTTATTTTTGAATACATAAACTGTTTGAGCAATAATAACGAGAGCGAATACATTAAACTAAGAACTCATTTAATCTAATTTTTTTAAACCTTAAATAAGATATTGTATTAAAAATGCAAGTAAATCCAGCTGGTACGATACTCGTGAATCCGAAAGAACATGTTCGATTATTGGAAGATTTGAAAGAGCAACGAGAAGAATTTATGGTTAAACGATTGAAAATAGGATGGCCAAGAAAATTTTTGGTTCTTTTAGGAATATTTCAATTACTACTTTGTTTAATAATTATTGCAATGGATCTACCGATTATTCTGATGTTTGCTCCTCGATGGCAAATATTTGCCGGTTCTTGGAGTGGTGTTCTAGCATTTGTTGCAGCTGTCAGCACTCTACATTCGAGTAAGTCAAGAACAATTTGTTTTTGTTTTATGCCTATTCTATTTCTGAAAACATTCATTATATTCAAATGTAGGTCGAAAAATAACATGGCGTAAACTAAAAATTGGTAGTTTCTTCAATATTTTGGCCTTTATTGCATGTATTGTCATGATGGGATTTAATATCCTCTATTTGGTAAATCCAACTTTATGCATTATCATCAGTGGTTGCAATTACTTATCTTACACAACAACACAAGTAAAACCCTATTATATTGCCGAAATAGCAATCGGTAGTGTATTTCTTATCACACCGTTCATTTATGTAATATTAGTTATTAAATATGGTGTGGCCAGTTCATTAGAATTCGATCGTGTACAAAAAGGCTGGGTTCCTGTACAAGACCCGGAAGCCCCGTTACCTAAACCGTCAAGATCGGCTAGACTCCGCGAAGTCACGCCACAACAATATCACGGACCACCACAACAATATGGATCACCACAACAAGATCATGGACCACCACAACAATATGGACCTCCACAACAAGATCATGGACCACCACAACAAGATCATGGACCACCACAACAATATTACGGACCACCACAACAATATGTACCACCACAACAAGATCATGGACCACCACAACAATATTACGGACCACCACAACAATATGTACCACTACAACAATATTACGGGCCACCAGAACAATATTACGGACCACCACAACAATATGGACCACCACAACAATATTATGGACCACCACAAGGTCCTCCATTCAATAATCAAGTTATGCCCATGCCTATGCCCAGAATGCCGATACCACCTCGCCAACTAATCCCAGTACCGTACGTTCCACGAAGTGGGCATCCACTAGGTCCTCCACCAACACAATATTATCCTCAACCATAAAACATTTATCAGTTGGCTAGAATTTGAACGCTCTCCGTCTTTTATAAGTAAGCTAAATTATTCACAAAACAATTGAGGTTGAGATAAAAGCAAAATTCAATCATATTTGTTTTTGTATCTGGCAGATTTGTTAGATCTTCGGATTTTCCAGAATTTTTTTGGATTTAATCTTGTACTGGAAAAGATGAATATTGTGAAAAAAAGGTGGTATAGAATTTAAAACAGGATTTATATTAAGAAAATGATAGTTTCTTTTTCATTGTGTTCTACAACTGTGTGTTCGCTCTATCTCTCAAAGATGAATGCACGTGTATACATGCTTGATGCTGAAAGAAAAAAAGGAAGGATCCAATCCTTGATCCATTTGTGCTTATCTGCCCATTGTTCATTTCATAAACGCGATGGAATCGTCAACAATAGTTGATGCTTTGCGAAATGAGTCTGAACCAAAATTAGTTCAAACAAAGAAGATAATGTAAAGAATACGGTAGAAACATAGAAACATGTTTTAATAAACACTGGTTAGAAAAATTATTTGTATTTTTTGAGACATTTTATTCACGATGAGACTGAAGCAAAATGTTCAGTGTCTAACTGTGATATTTCCAATTATACAACAAAAACGATACGTGTTGTCAACACGTACCTTTTTAAACACGGTGTTGATACCATTTAGTACCTTGAAATACAGTATAAATCGAATAGTTGTTTTCATAAAAAAGAAGATAACGAGAAACCGAAGAATACAATAATGGATGAAATTCATGTGTGAAAAAATGAATAAAATTCATCCTTTTCTTATGAATTTTGTTTAGATGCGAGCTTGGCTTTTGTTGATACACACAGTGGTACAAAAGTAGTTTTCCATACTACTTTAGCTTTTTGATAATAGTCTTAGAGATTGTCTAGATTTTTAGGATAGCTGCTAGCGGAAAAGTAGTCTGATCATTAAAGATGACTTACGTACGAATCACATGCGTTCAAAAAGAGACATTTATACGCACGTATGTTGATAATGTGATGATAATATTGATAGTACTTAAGTTATCATTATATTATTTTCTACTTTAATTCTTTTCCTTTCAAAAATAATGAAAGTTGATTATTGAAGTGGTAAAGCTGTAATCCGTATTTTCTACAGATCTATCAAATTTAGTACTTGCTCATCATTCCTGAGAGTTTCATTCACTCAACAAACTAGTGCAGTTTGAACAGCAGCTATTAGAGATAATAATATGCGATAATATCTGAGTACTAAATGTTGATGTTGGACGTTGATGCATAAGAAGTTGAACTGCAGATGAGATACAGCCTGTTTAGGTATTGTTAGTATCAAGGCTACGATTATTAATATATTGTGGCTGCATGTTTAGTCATAGGAAAACGAAATAGATGGATATTATATATTAAGGAGCACTGATGAATATGGATTTGTCTTCTGTTTTTTATTTTTCTAATAAAATGTTACAGATACGTACGATAGACTCAAGTGCATATATTAATATCATGAGAATGAAGTTTCATTTACTTCTACTAATTAATGCACCCGACCGTAGGTCTTTTTGTGAACTAAACTGAACATTTTATTTATATATTCAAAATGCAATAAGCAGAACATTATCTCAGATCCATATTACAGAAAAATCACAATATGAAGTATTGCTTGACTTCCAATTTGTATAAAAAGTAGAAATATGTACAATTAAATAATCCGGTACTATATGATTTGAGGTTTCTCGGATCATATTTTAAGAAATAAGTTGACTATCATATTTTAAAGATAAGCGCCCAGTTGTATTGTCAAAAATTTTTTTTTCACAATATAATATTGTTTTAACGATTCGGAGACTAACGCCGTTTTAAACGTGTTGTTGAATCAGAACAAGATGTTGTTGTAATCCTATTGTGCTCATAATTTTCTCTTCCCACTATTCTATTGCCTATATTTTACAACAAGGTTTCGTGGGCGTCTTCAAGTGCTTAACGTTTCATGCATTTCAAAAAGTTTATTTGGTTAATTGATGTGTGCTATTCGTTGATACTAAAATTGCATATTACTGGTTACTTTTTCAAGATTATACGTTATTTATTATGGTGTGATTCGACAGCATGTGTGTAATTTAAGTTTTGATAATGGATCAAGTTTTCAATAACGTTTTTCAAACGATTTGACAATATAATTATAATAACTCGTACTAATCAGATACACAAATAAATTACTTTACTTTTATCCAAAACTTGTGTTGCTTATCTTGATGGTACAACACAGTAAATTGATCTACATTTCAGATAGCGTGAATGACAGAATATAACATTCTTTATTTGGATATGAGGAATTCTGTCAAGAGAACATAAGATATGAGCCTTGCAGTGCACAAGGATATACTATCGGATCAATTGTAAATGGTTATGACTATTTGCTTTAACTTTTAGTGTTTTTCTTATTCTCGTTCTCACCACAGGTTGTGATATTTCACGATGGTTTCGAATAACAAAATCATCTGATGATGGATAATCATCATTTTTATAATAAAACTGTCTCATTTTTGTTCGAAGAAGAAAACTTGGTGAAAAAAAATCGTTTGTTAAATCATAATCGTTGAGAATTTTTCTTTTGATACGTTTTTTTCGTTGTACAAATGCATTTGTTGATTCATCAACATGCTCTCGTGATTGTTCTCGTTGAAAATTTGCACTTGACAGTCTGTCAGAAACTGCTGGCACTCTTGTTGTTATTCGAACAGCTGTTTGCTCTGATGGTGATGAGTCACGATTCGTAGAAGTACGATGTTTCTTTGACATATCCAATATATCTCTTTTCGGTGTGACACCTTTTTGTGAATTATCGGTTATTATCTTTAGTTGTTGTTTTGATGTCTTCATAGAAATGTCCGACATGGCTCTTAATTTTTCACTTTGTGATGATCGAATAAATGAATCATCAACTGGTGTTTGTTGTTTACTCATTCTTTTTTGAAAATATTTTGGTTTTACAGTTTTGATACACTTTTTTGAAGTTAATGATTGCCATTTAGAGATAAGCTGACGTTGTTTACCTATTCGCCGATTCATTTCTGATCCTGGTAGACAAGCTAATATTTGCTTTATTTGGTAATAAGCATAAGTAATCCATTTTTGGGTATCACTCAATAACGGAACTAAATATTCCACCAAAAGTTAAATATATCTTATCCTCTGTAATGATAGTGAAAACATACTTAAAAAGTTTGTATTCATTGCTGTTAATCCTCCACTACGAATTGTTAAATACAGCGTGACTAAATCATATTTGATCGTAGTTAATGCCGCTCCAACTGCATGATATCGTATCATTTCACCTTCTAGATCATTTTTCACCACATAATTTTCAATTTCAGCAATTTTTTTCAAATAATATTTCAAATTACAAGCAAATACACGTAGTGCCCGACGAAACATAACGGGAAAACGAACAATCCATTCAGGATGTGTCTGACGTGTTGTTTTTACATCGTAGAATGCCGATCGCGATTGAACACATATTGTCCTCAAACGTTTACCAAACATAAGATAATCTGCATCCAAATTAATATTATACAATTGAATACATGCATTACCATGTGTCGTTGTAGTACGTAACATACTCTCATAGTTTCTCATTGATGTTCTCGTTACATAGTCCAAGACGATGGTATTCAAGACGAATTCTGTTAAAGCATTAGCAAACTCAGCATATTCGAGCAAAATAGTTAAATCAAGAAAACCGTATGTGTTATAAACACAGGGCATGATCGACAAGATTGTACGGAAAACAAGTACAAATTATAAAAAATTATTTTGATTCGATTAATTCAGACAACAGTAACAGGTAATTCAAATAAGAAAAAAAAATTTAATTCAGTTTCGTTTAACTATCATCATCACATAAGATATTTGTTTTAGTGAAATCGTTATGGAAACAATGAACTTTTCAGAATTTAAGAATGTAGTTCAACATATGATGATGAATTCTCACGTACTGTGATTAGCAGGATGAGTCCGACACTTTAAGACTATGAATTTAAGTTGGAATTCCTAGAGTCTGATGAAAATAATTGATTTGTACGACGACCCAGTACAGAGTGTAAGATTCACACAGTTAATGGAGCAGTTGAAAAAGTCTGATTTTTAGACAAGCGATTTTCAAAGCGTTTTCAAAGCGGATGGTCAGTCTTCAATAGCCAGTCATAATAATTGTCAACAGAACTAATCTTTGTGATCCGTGCGGAGTAGTTCCTTATTTATTTTATTTTGCTTTTTTCTCTCTTCCAGCAAACCTATAAACCTCATAGACCGCAGAATAGCCGCTCATGTATCCATGAAAATTTGCAAAGATAAATGATAATGGTATAGTGAATTTTTAAATTAAATCAAAATAAAGACAAAATATGAATATGAACACACTCTAAAAGGTTATCTTAAAAAAAATAAGATCGAATCAGTTAATTGCATTTGTCTTTAAAATAAGATGTGTTATCTGTCTGGTTTTAAGATGAACACAACTAACTAATTTAGGTTTAAGATAGGTAAATTCCTGCATCTTACATTAAAGTGCATAATTTATCCATCTTATTTTAGCCGCAGTTAGGCTAAAATATTCCTGCCATTATTATCATTACGTGTTTTAAACAGATCGTGGATATAAGATGCAAACAGTATGTCTCGCTTGACTTTCATCTTGAAGCCCATACTTTGAGCTAACTAATTATGTAAAAAAAAATCACTTTATTGCCAGATGGATTGTTTTTTTTAGAACTAGACTGGTTCTGAAAAGCATAGGCGACGGAACATTTTGAATTTAGGGTAGGCTCAAAAAAAATTCTTTAAACGGAGCCAAGAGGGGGCGGGGAGTTTGATGAAAAGGGGGCAGAATTTTTTTATCACTATTATAAGCAAGACAGTGAAACGTCTTACGGTATAAGTCCTAAATTTGTTTGAAGGCACTTTGAACTCTTGTTTCAACGCTCATTTGTATTATTCACTCTACTGTTTCTAGTTATTTTGGTCTAAATAAGCTGTGAAACATGCGTTAATGTCAAACTCATTCTAAAAACACTCTATACCATCAGTTACATTTAATACATTTTCCATGAACTTAAGGCTGACAGAATTTCGCACTAGAGCGTCGAACAGAAGAAACCGAAACAACGATTGGACCTTGATCACTTTTCCACAAAGAATACGGCTAGTTTGTATTTGAAGAAGCTCAGAGCTTTTAGAATGATTGTTTTCCTCTTCTGAAGGGAGTTCATTCATAAAATATGTTGTAGAGATTCATTACACCAAAACACGTCAGAAACGCTGTATCTTGTCGTTGCATAATCGTGTAGCTATGATTCTGTGGAACGTCGGTGCATATTTACTATACATTGTAGAGGCAGCGAAATGCTTTTTTGATTCACACTTCAGAATCCATCACTCGGATTTATACACGATCTTTCGGTTTCTTTCTGCAGAAAAACCGTTCATGCATTTATGATCACACTGTTTGCGCCTAAACCTTCAAGATTCCAGCTGAACTTCAGTCTACCTAAGCCTATGCCTTTCATTTCTACGGTAGGCTCGAGGCTACCCAGGCCTCGTGGCTCCGCCACCTATGCTGCAAAGATTCCCTCAAACTTATACTTCGGAAAAGGATTTTGAAAGTTGTTTTGCTTACGAAACGACATCTCTTAGCCTCTTCTATCGAACAACGAAAACCGTATGCTTTTATCTCTTTTCGCCTAAAAATTTATTCAAAAAATATTCTAGTAGATTGTGTTTTGTGTGATAGCGCACCGACGACTAAACAGATGTTCGAATATTCTATTGATTTTTATCAAAAACAAGTGATAAATAGTAATCAATATTTTAATTCACGGGTGTAATTAGCTTTAAAACGTGATGAATTTAAAATTCGATTATTTGTGCAATATGAACAATAAGTTTCATTAGTGTACGAATTAGACCTAAATGAATGATATCGAGAACGTTAGGATCGTACTGGGCATTTTTTCAAATATATAATTTTCTTGCATCTCTATTAAATTCGTATAAATTGTTGACTAAACGTCAAAATGCATTGAATTTCCGAATACTTTTCATCACGTAAAATGCGAGCACTTTACTCTACATTACTACAAACTATAATGAAAATATGTAGATAGAATCAAGATAAAAAAACAGAAATACAAAGAATATGAGTGAGTTGTGTTTTAATCTCTCCATAATATAGTACTCAGATTATGGAAACTTTACTTAATATCACTATGTATAATTTCATATTTTTACCAGACGTGCAAAAGACTCCAAAACTCCTTTATTTCAAGTGAGCATATCTTATAGTTTGTTATAATGTACGCAAATACATTGATTTTTGTCTTTTTACCTTCAGTCAAGAAATTCTCTAAATATTCATTTTACTTATTGTATTTTACCCATGTACACGCTCAAAAATCAATACTACAAAATCTTATGATATATTGGAGAGAACTCGGGAAACAACCGTTTTTGATATTTTTGTTACAGAGTAAATAATTGAGCGATTGATGACAAAACTTAAATTATACAGCAAAAATCTTTAGTGTATAGCATGTGCTTGGTAATTTTTTTAAAATTACAAAAAACTCATAGTCTTTTTAAAAAAAGATTAACATTTATTTATTATTTTTGTTGGAGATAATCATCGGATAATAAAAAATTGTCACGATCAATAAATAGACACTAGTCGATCCTCGATTGCACAATCTGTCAGTAGCATCGATTAAAACCCTAGCATGGTTGATGCTATTTTTTTATTCAATATATTAATAGTACTAAAGTATATTAAAACGAATAAACAAGTAAACTTATATAAATATCTGATTGAAAACTATCAGGTCCCTGAGAAGTACAAATTTAAAAATGAAAAGAGATTTGTTTAAAAAAAATAATTAATTTATTTGTCTATTATTATTATTATTATTCTGAAGCAACAATCGATAATGCTTTAATACCAGCTAATTTTGTATTAATTTCGTCTAATGTTGAATCATTATTTGAATCAACGTCTATTATATTGACAAGTCCATTATAAGCATTTTCCAATTGTTCACAGTAATGTACCTAAACATTAGAATAAAATTTAATTTATTCAATAAAAGCATCTACCAACACATCAAATGATAACATAATTTTTAACATATTCATTGGGAGAATCGACATTATACACTTATTCACTCAAAACAACGATTTATATATATATTTCAATATATTATCGAGTATACTAGAGGGATATAAACGTACTTGTGCTTCGATAAATGCTTCTAGACAAGGATAAACAAATGCTGCTCGTCTTTCATGTAAAATTGGTAATTCTTGTGTTAATAATGAATTTCTTAATTCATATTGTTGTTTAGCATCTGTTAATTGTTTTTGTATTTGTTCTAATTTATTTGTTGTCAATTTTTTTTCATTTAATTTATCTAATTTATTTTGTATTTTTAAATAATCATTTAAACTTTGTTCACGTTTTTTTATTGAATGAATAACATTATTCAAGGCTATTGTTAAACGTTTTGATGATTCAATAATAGTTTTTGCTGTCATTTCATTCATTAAATTTGTTTGTTCATAAATTTTTTGACTTGTCTGTTTCCAATTTGTCATCAATTGTTGTGATGACAATATTGATTGAGTTTGTTGATCTTGATGTTGTTCATAATGATTTATAAATGCACTAGATGCTAAATCATTAATTAATTTTAATTGACCTTTTGAAAATTCATCGAATGCTTTATTTTGTTTTAGAATATCACGTGTTAACGATTTAGCATTATCCTCTAAACATTCTAAACGACGTGTTTCACGATCAAAATCACGAGTCGTCTAAAAAAACATATAAAAAACAATTCACAGATAAATCGCTTTCTATGTATCTTCAAACTTCATGATCAAGTCGTGCTTATCACTGATCATTTTGTTTTATATCATTGCTAAAATACCACGTATTTTTACTCTAAAAGTCTCGGTAACAAGCGGTACAGAAAATGAGTCAATAGGATTTTACTTACAATTAATCCTACAGATTTTCGAGAATTAGCATTTCTTGTAAATGGGTTCCTAGAATAAAAACAATCAGTTTTTCACTAAGAATATATGAAAATTTAATGAAAAGACGAACCAATTCATATTTCAATCTACAAAGATAAAAAATTATTTTCCAGTGAACAAATGACACATCACTTTTCCAGTGAACAAATGACAATGGTAGTAAAATAAATACTTCATTTAATTCATTATCGTTTATTATTTTTGTTTTCTGTATATAAAAATAAATAAAAGAAAGAACCAAATGACAAATAACACTTTTTATAAAACACAATAGTCAGTCACTGATAAAGGAGCGAAATAAATTACACAAATGGAATGACACAAAAATAGGAATAAAAAACGTAATTGCAGCTGTGTTGCAGTATGCCGGTGAGTATGAGACAGAACTAGTATATGCTTTTGTTGCTATTCTTTTTTGTTTGAAAACATTCGTGAAAGAAATGAGTCAAATTTTTTTGTTTTTTACTGTTCATGTTTAAAAAATAAAAACGTTTACAGGAGAATAAGAAAAAATGCAGTACGAATTAATTAAATTGTGTCAGTTGTCGAACAACCAGTGAACCATCAGCGCCGGATGAAAATAAATGCCTTGTCGATGTTACTTCTAAATGATTAACCCCACTTATTTGTGCATGTAAAAAACCACGTCGCGCATGTTCATTGTAATAACAATGAACGAATTCACAACCTTGAATACGCCAAAGCTAAACAAAAATGGATTGCAGAATATATGACAAAATATTATGATGACTAGAGATGATGACGATTGTACTTACTTTAATATTTCCCTCTGTTGAACCGGTAACATAAAATTGTTCATATGGATCTAATGCTAATGCTTTTAAATGTGAATCATGTGCTTGACTTGTAGCTAAACGACGTCGTTGTCTAAGATCAAATATACACATATCACCACGTTTTCCACCAGTTATTAATAATTGATGATGTTTAGAATAAACTAAACATTGTGCGCCACCACCAATTTCATGACATTGAAAAGCTATAAAACACAATAATCAGTCACTGATAAAGAAGCGAAATAAATTACATAAATGAAATGACATAAAAATAGGATAAAAAAACGTAATTGCATTGCAGTATGAAAAGATAATCGTGTTATTAACAGTAATGATAGAGCAAAAGATTCTTTAAAGAAATATGAACGTACATGCGACGTTCATTCTTGATGTTGGCATAAGTGTATCCCATATACAAATATTTTGATTGTCTTGCGAGATGCCAGCTGTTGCAATTAATGTGGATGAATCAAGAAAAGCAAAATCATTTGCCGATTTAGAATGTACAAGGAGACGCTGAAAAACACAGTATGAGATCTTTTTTTATCAGAACAAAACGCTACTTTTAAAACACACTCTACCGTATAAGCTGACGAACGATTGTTTGTCAAAACATGTAAAGATAAATAGCCATCAACATCACTAATACCAAACTAAATAGGCATACAATTATAAACTTGTTGATGTCAAATCAAATCAACTCTAATTTACTTTATTTCCTTCACCGCTTAAATCAAGTTTTGTAACACGTTTTGTTGGTTCACGAACTTGTCGTGGTTGTGAATCTTGATTCCAGTTCATTAAATACACGCTACCATCACTACAGCCACATAAATCTAATATGGAAATATTTTTGCAACTACCAGTATCAGAGTCAAATGAGAAAAAAACTTACAATGTGGAAGTACAGGATGATTTGCAAAACGGCAAGCATCTTTAATCGCATGCCGACAAGTCTAAATAATCATGTTATAATTAATAGTAATAATGTATGTGTAGAATGATCACACTATTAAGGGTATAAGCTGAACTCTGCATCACTCATCATTTCATTGAGCGTTTTGTATAACTTATTTTACTATTGTAAACTAAAAGCTACGGTTTCATCTAGTCAACTTACTAATGTCTGTTGTTCGCCACTATTTCCATTTGTTCCAGTGGCTATGGCCAGTGCTGGTTGAACTAAATAATTATTTGGCATATAGACACCAGTTGGCATGCGCAACGAACGTGCTCTCGATGTTACATCAGACGTTGTTCTATAAAATAAAGATAAAAACAGAATTTAAACACTATCTGGAATGAAAAATAAGTCAAACTGACAGAGTTGTAGCTGTCGTGGGTAGTGCCACTGGTAATTCACTATCATCGTCCAAGATCTCTGTTGATCGAGATGTAGTTGTTGTTGCTGTGAGATTTGAAACATCAAGTTCAATTAATTCTCTCATTAGACCGATTGCTATTAAATTTGGATTTGCCTAAAAATAAAACATTCATGATTTTGAATAATAAAAAGCATATGATAACTACAACTCACATTATTTAAACAAAACGAACTAATTGATTCAGAAGCACGATAAACAGTTTTTGGCGGCGGTGATCCACTATCAGTTATATTGGTGTCAACAGGTCGACCATCGAACTAAAAAATATGTTAAACACACATAATTTACGTGCAAATCATTATTCAAGAGCTAGCAAACATCTCGATCAATTCAAAGACACACAGAGCAGCAGAAGCCAACTTACTCCAATAGGCTGTGAAGAAAAAGCCCGAGTGAGTGTGTGTATTCTCGTCTGAGAATACAGAAACTGAAACATTTTTGTTGTTAATAATTCGTTCTTTAACCAGACTTTTTTTTCTTTTTCAACATACTTTGTCTGAGACACTAGACGGTGTTGCTGGTGTTGGTTTTTGTTTGAATATATATTTGATAAATATATTTTGTAATTGTTCTTCATTGACTAGACAATTCCATAAACGTTTAGCTGGTATTGCAGACAATGACTCACTAAAATATAACAAACTTTATTTCCACTACTCAACATAAAAATAAACAACGTACGAAAATGGTGTATTATCTTGTTCTAATATCGTACGATAACGATGGATTGGTGGACCATTACTCGTTGTATCAATTGTACTCAATGGTAAATAATTATCGGGTGGAGAAATAAATGCATCTAGTGTAAGACGTAATGATTCCTGCCATTGATTTAACTTCTGAAGAAATTGTTGTAACAATGGAGACAATATTGGTATTTCTAAAGATCAAATAGAGAGACAAAAAAATAAAATGCTAAATTGTATATTTTACATGTAGATAATTGTAAAAATATTGTAATGAGACTATTTACCGTGTCGCTCAATTCCAATACTAGGAAAAAATAACCATAATCGTTGCTGTACTAGACGAACGATGGCATAACGCATCAATATCCATGAATATGACATTGAATCAGAATGTTCACGTTCTTTCATTTTTCTAGAGAATATTAAAATAGTGATAAATTCGTTCACTACTTAAAAACTACATTACTTTTGAGAACTGTCAATTTTTTCTCCATCGTCGGCACCATCTTCTTCTTCTTCCTCATCTTCAACTTCGTCTTCATTATCAGAATCATAATTGTAATTGTTAACTTCGGATGATATCTAAATGGAAAGATATGTTGCTTACATTTTGATTGTAACAAGGCTGCGACTAACTTTTGCCATAAAATAATTCACGATACTCGCACGTGGTGGTATAAACACTTCAATGTAAGATGGCTTTTTTTGTGATTGCTGATCGGGTTTCGATGGCAAAACCCTATGTACGTATGCATTACCAGATGGACGTCGATTTGTTGGAGATGAAGGTAATTCAGCCGCTTCAGCTATAGAAATGAAACCATTCATCTATAAAAAAATAACATTTTGTTGATTAAACTTACGTGCTTGGCTAGACATAATGGGGATCGCTGATGTTGTTTCTGAAGTAGCTGCTAGCTGTTTTTTTGCACCACCGCCAAATACTCCATACCACAGTTTAACGGCTGATTCAGGTACTGACCATTTTCGCACAATAAGACGATATAACGTACTGCAATCATCTGTTGATAACGCGTAAATAAGCAATGAAATATAAACAGATACGAGTGTTTCAACAAGAAGTATCTTCAATCTTGGTGTATCGTTATCTTGTTCTTTTACCATGGTAACAAACACCTTTATACCTAAATAGAAAGATAAATAGTGTATTCTTTTAGAATGAATAGCAAAAAACAAACCTGGCCAATCTTTTGGTGCAGTTGTGGGTGAATTACGTTCAATTAATGATGTTACACTTTTTCGACGATGAGAACGTGTTGAATCACGACGATATAAATACGATCTTAGAAATGATTCGACAGCTAGTCGTTCTGTTGTTTGATTTTCATTCGTATTACATAATGACTGATATATACAACTCGATAAGGCAATCGCCAAATCTCTCAATGCAACAATTCTATAGGCATTCTCATATAATGTTGGTAATGTTGACCATTCGTTCATTGTTCGCAATATATCATAGGTGATATCTCGTACATAACTAATTGAATTATTGCTTACACTTAATGAATATGATAGATTAGCTATTAACAAAGGAACATTGGTTGGATAGGGAACTGGATATTTTAATTGAGTACGTGTTTGACGAAATAACTCTTGCATCAAAAGTAACAATTCCATACGAACAGATGCTAAACCGCCTGAACGTAGAAAAAAAAATATTTAAATTCATGTTGAGCAATTTATTTGATTTTTGTATTACCTCCTTGCATTCCATGTAATGTTGTAAACGATACTAATGTTCGTAGAAGATATTCATTTGATTTTAACCATTGACGTCGACGTATTAATCGTTTAAATTTTGTTTCAAAATCGCCAGTACGAACGAGAGACGAAGGTGTTAAAGATTGATGCTGTGCGCGATCAGTTTCAATGGTATTATCGTTCATTCCAGTGTCAGATAATATTGGTTCATCGAAATCTAAATAAACAAAAAATTGTGAATGACGGATTACATTTAATAATAATTGATAGTAGATACCTTCGGACAAAGGATCGACGTTACCACTGTTGTCATCATCTTTATTCAATCCCATGCCACATAACTGTCGAATAATTTTTATCTCTTGTTCAAGCCAGCAATATAAATGATGTCTAAAGAAAGTATTTTTATGTTGTTAACCGCATTATTTCATCCATAGACATCGGTGTACATATAGCTTTTTTATTAGACAATGCACAATGCTTACCTTAACTGTCCACCGGCAACTTCAAAACCGGTTGCTAATGTCGCCATTTCTTCGACAACGATTTTTAAACAACATATTAATTTCATGTATTGTCCTACTTTATCAAACTGTTGAACATTAGTTGTGTTCTCAACATTTTTCGTTGACGTTACTTTTTCTTCTTCTACTATTACTTGCTTTTTCTCATCTTTGTTCTTATTGTCATTATCATCATCATCATCATTATCACTCCAATCCAGTTTTAATCCATCATCATCTTTATTCGCTGACAATGGTTTACTCCAATCAACTGGCTCTCCATTTCCTATTATTGTGTTTGTTAATTCTTGGCTCGATGTAGTTGTTGCTATTGTTGATTTGGATTCAATAAATGGTGGTAATTTTGCTAAGATTTCCAATGCTAGTAATGGACAACCTTCATTAATATAATGCGAGGCTGTTTGAAAATGCAGTCGCCGTTCAATTGCAAAACGTTTTAAATCATTTTCGGGTGCTGTTGTTGTCGTTGCAGTCAATTGTTTTGCACGTAATATAAGAGGATGTTGTCTAAGATAATCATAGAATATAAATATCGATTGTTTTACTGTATCATAATCGAACGATACTGGATAGATACTATTATATTTTGTTATTAGTTCAACACTTGGCTGTATAAGTAACGTCGTTAATGATTGATCATAATCGTTCAGCAACCAGTAAGCCATACTACGCAAAAATGGATCGGGTGAAATCGTTATTTGTGTTTTTAATAGATCATCAACGAGTGAAGACGAAGGTTGTTCATTTTCAAATAGTCGTGCTATTAATAACGCCAGTTGTATATCGTGTAAATTATTGACGCACACCTCGATTGCATCATGAATTTTTCCAGCCAAGAGAAAAAAGGCAGCCGCATGCTCAAATCGTTGTTTTCCTAATAGAACAAAAGCATTTTTTTGTGCCGCTTTCATCCAACGATCTTCGGTAAAATCATTTCTAAAAAATTCTTGCATTTTAGCATCTTGAACATGTCTAAATTAAAATAAAAGAATTCCTGATATAATAGTATAAGAAAAAATTGTATGTTTCGTACTTGTACAAATTATATAAAAAACTTTTTTTCTTCAACGCTAAAAAGTATAATGCACCATCAAGTGGATCATTATTTTGTTCAAATGCTGTTTTACCAAGCTAAAATAGTAAAATGAATAGAATACTTCATATAAATGATATTGTATTTTACCTTTTCAAATAGTCGTACAATAACACTTCGATTTCGAATCCACCATCCTACACCAAATAATTTTAATTCATTCCATTCAGGTTTTCCTTTTTCCATCGATGGTAACAGTGAAAGTAAATCTTCTTGTAAATCAGAATGAAATGCCCATGCAAATGATGCACTAGTAATAGTATACTTGAATAAAGTTGAACGTTGAGCTGGCGAAAGTATTTTAGACAAGTAAATGTAACGTTTAACATCAATTAGAAATCGAAGTCCACAATCATCCACAGCATCTAAAACAAACAACATCACATTATATTAGATTTATCCTATCAAGTCAAATTAGAACATACATTCACTTTGAGCGGTATTTTCATTTCCCATCGTGGCCAATGTATCCGCTAATGCTAATAGATACATTTGATCCGTACCGCTGAGACTCGTTAATCTTATACGTTGAAAATAGTCAACAAGTAACTCAACCATTCGTTTATCGAATATACACGAGAACGCTGGTGACCAATTGCGATTAGAAAGAATTTCTCTTTTCAATTTCTCTAATTCTTCTAAAAAATAAATTCACTATATAATTGACGAAGAAATTTAAAAACGTTGAATTCTCTTACTTCGATGTTTCCTTTCACTATCATTGTCTTCATCAAATTTGAATTCAACTTCACCATGCATTGTTGTTGCAAATAAATCGTCATATTTTTTATTTAAGCCATCATAATTCTCGACATCATTACTACTATCGTCATTCGTTCTATTAACTTCATCATCTTGCGTTAATCTTGATGTTTCATTATCAGCTACAAACAATGCAAATAAAGGTAATAATGGGATTGAATCAATTTCGATATATTTTGCTGGTTCCAATTCAGTAACGCCACTTGATTCATTTTCAACATTTGCTATTGAAAATGTTCGCGTTCGCATCAATTTCATTTCAACTTTGCTTTCAACTAAACACAGAATAAAAGAATGAGAAAAAAAACACATTATTCTGACCAAAAGGTCAAGGATAAAAAAGCTTACCACTATGTACAGAATTGATGACACATCTTGTCAAATGAGCTAAAATTGCTTTAACACGACGATATTTGCCAAAACGAACTAATTCAAGCAATAATTTTGGATGATACTGCGGTAAAACAGCGGCAGCACGTCTGCAATAATAGAGAAAAGAATAGTTCTCAGGAATTTTCTTCTTTTATCATACCTAGTTGCATTGAATAGTCCTAAATCATTAATGGTATCCAATGTTAACCATGAAGGTGCCTTTGATGGTTTATCTCGTCGTTGTTGTTGTTTTTGCATTAGAATATTATTTGTTGACGATGAATGTCCATCATCAGATACGGACAGTTTTCTAAAATCAGCTGCTGTTACTGCTTTTTTTAGCTGTTTTTTATGATGTTTTGTTTTAATTAATGGCTTTAATAATTTTTGTTGCCCTTGTTCTTGTAATTGTTTTAATTTTTTAGTATCTAATGACGACCATTGTGAATACACTTGTAGTTCACTATCTAATCCAACAAATAATAATCCACCTCTAACCCATTTCAGACGTACTGGAAATGCGGGCTTTCCATCGACATAGCTTAAATCAATTGTACGAAACCGAATCCAATTTAGTGCACCATCAGTTGGTGACGAGATATTTAGACTATATTGTAACGTTCCTGTTGTGGTTGCCTTCGAAGAATAGACAAATGAATATATTGATATTCGATGACCAATACAGGCGGCAAGTAAGTGTGATCCATTTTCTACGGATGCCCAATCGAGATGTATGCATCTTTTTGACAATATTTCCTGTCGATCATCACCACTACCACTCACAGGAATTGTTTCTTCATGATTCCACGATGTGCCACCTGTTGATTCACATTCATAAATTCCAATATTCATTTCATTTTGACTTTGAAAAGCAACTGCTAATCGTCCACAATAAGCATTACTAACACACAACGGTAAACCGGTAATACTTAATCTTGTACTCTTTTCACAATATGTTAGAATACCACACCATTCGCTCCATTCATAAATTGTTTGACTAGAAATTTCTCCAGCTTGTTTTGTACAATTCCAAAAATGTACAATACCATCACTATGAATTGTTGTGAGTAAATATGGAGATGATGACGATGAGTCAGAGTAGCATAATGAACTTGAACTTAAATGACCAAATGATACATCAACAGATTGCAATTCAGCATCCATCGGTAATGGTAAAAGATAATCGCTAACCTAAAAAATAAGCAAAAAAAAACAAAAATTATTTTTTTATCCTTGAGTAGGCAATCATTTATTAATAAAAAACTGAAGTATCTATAATACATTACCTTTTTACTTTGCACCTCAACAAACCAACTGGACTCTTGTCTTGTATTAATATTCATATCAGCAATAATTGTTTCATTTTCATCATCTGGATAAGTAATTATAATTTCCCACATATGTATACGACTTTGTTTTGTCTCTCCTTTTTCAACTAATACTAGATAATAGAGTTTTTTTGTTGTTGATGTTGAAGAGGATGGTGGTGACTGTGCACTATAATCAATCGCACTTGCTGGAAATATATGAATTAATTTTGCATTAGACCAGATCTAAAAATATCATCATAATTGTAGTGTTGCATAAGACTTCAACGTATAGAACAAAAAGACAACTACTTACACACTGTGAATCAATTACTTCCGCTAAATCAATCACACAACTCGGTCGAGCTGTGGATTGTATACTAGCAATTTTTAATCGATATGATGAGTTTGCTCGTATTTGATTATCTGAACTATCAATATGATTAGTAGACTACTTAGACGAAAAACAGAAAAAGAAACTTAGATCATTATGAATGAACACAACAATGTAGCATACCACGTACATTAGGACCATCAAACCGACTAGTCAATAATATTTTTGCATTCCAAATAATGTGGTATACACGTAATTTTTCACCGTCAGATGCTATAAACAGAAAACTAGGAGAGTCTCGTAAAAAGGTTGTTCCCATACTAAAGAGACAAAAAAAGAAAAAAAATTTCCCATACAATAATTATACTTTTCAGCGAGCAGTATACCTTGGAATAACCAATGGAAACCATGCAATTAAATTATACGCATTTTGATGAATAGATTCCATTCTGGCTAATTCAGTGATGCCACCTGTTTTTGACAGTGGTCCAATCGGTTCTGTACTCCATAATATTAGCGAACTATTATAATCATTATTTATTGGAGATGATATTGTTTCATCATCGTTCGAATAATAACATGAGCTTGTTAATACAAGCGGTACAATTGAATGACAAACAACGTGTCGAATGGAAAAATGGTGTCCACACATTCGAGCTAAATGTGACACGCAAATAAGAGATTGAAATTTTTGTTCGTTTGTAAATGTTAGTGTCCATAAATTAAGTGTGCCATTCGTATGTTTTGTAACCATATTGACGAGTGGTAATAATTGTTCTAGCCTATGTACATTATTATTATTTGATGACCATTTAATAAGTTCTGTAGCATCTGGACGTACAGCGACTGATGGCGGAGGATAATGATCACAATATAATACTAAATATGGACGAAGTGATAATGCATCACCCACGGGAAACACATCAGGAATTTTAGCCGAAAAACTAAATTGTACTTGACGATGAAGTACTGGATAAGATGATATGGTAGCTGATTTTGATGGTAGTGACAGCGAAGAAGATGGTGCTGGTTGATCAAGCCAGTCGACAACCCTACAATAGTCATACTATTTAAAAAGAATCGCTGGTAGGCAGAGCTCAGTTTACCATAATAACAGACTGCCATCAACCGGATGAATACTGAATAGAACATCAGGACTTGTGGTCCAATCATTCATTACAGATTTTAATTTCGTGCGGATCCCAAGAAAATGCTAAAGTAAGGAAAAAAATAACATGATTATTTTAAATAATGAAGAGAACAGTTAAAAGTACCATAGAATCTTCAATACTGCTAAATCTACCATAGGCCGTTGGTCGTCTTCCGCCGATAGTCAGATCTAATTGTGTATCGTTGCTATTTGTATCATCGCCATCTGTATTATCACCACCACCACCATTACTATTGATTCCATCAAGGTAACAACGTAATTTACTCTGCTTTTGCATATCATAAACAAAACGTTCGATAGATAATGTATTAAATAAATCTTTGTTATTGAGCCATTGAACAATAAATGGATAGTCTTTGTGTGATGGCACACTGGGCGATAGTAAAATATCTGCAAATATAGAGCATTTCGTCAGCAGGGGTCCAATGTATTCGAATTTACGGAATCACAGAATGCTATTTAACTAACCAGTGTGTGGATTGATTGTAGTTGCCACATGAAATCGAATAATACTACTGGTTGATGGTACTGTTGGAAGCGAGGAGGAAGGAAGCATAGCTGAAGTAGTGGAAGAAGCTGATGATGACAAACTAGAAGATGAATGTGAAAGTTTTATCGGGAGTGTTTGTTGATTATTGTCATCAGTTATCACAGGTGTTGTTGGGATAACATTTGTATCATTATTTAATCGGTCAACAGATGTGTGTGAAGATGAATGAGGTAGAGGTCGACTAGTTAGTGGTGAAACAGGAATAAAATAATGGTATCTAAAATAAAAGAAGTTAAATGGAGAATATTAACAGTCGGAAGGACATCGATATTTACCTCATTTTGTAAAGTTTTTGTACTGCTTTATCCAGAAGTTCATGATAACGTTTTCGACTACCATGCAGTTGAGATGCATCATTCATAGTATAAATGGCGGATTCTTCTTTCTTTTCGGTTTGACACCAGATTCGACATATATTGTCTTTACAACACGTTATTAAACAATTTGATACTGTTCCTCTAAATATACATCAAGTATGTTATCAAAAAGTGCTTTAGTCAAAAAACGCTCACTTACTCAGGAAAAAATTTTGAGTTTTTACGCCATGATACACTAATAACAGAACGAGGATGAGCCAAATATGTATAAATGAAGGAGGGTCTATTAGTTGTTGACGCTGTTTGATACCATACACGAACTAAACGATCATCCTATGCAAATGACAAAAAGAAAGATTATTGCTTAATCACATATATATCTACTTTTCTTACACGGCCTATTGTAGAGAAAAGTGTTCCATCGCTTGAATACACTACGTATTTAATTGGATTTGGCAATCTAAAAATAGTACACAAACATAATGCTTTTTGTGATGTGCGTTGCAAGCTCAGTCGCCTACTTAGAACTCCAAATGTTTTTCCAAGTTTTTGGGATTTGTGGTGTTAGTTTTCGTTTTAAGTCAACGTCAAGGCTAAATTGAACGTTTGCTGTTGGTTTCGTTGATGTCACTGTCTCGTCGTTGTCATATGACCATAATTGTAATGTTGAATCACACACGACAATCAATTGATTACCTACAAGTAAGCAAAAATCTTCTGTGAACAATAAAAACAGATACGCATAACACTAACCGTTGGGATTCCATGCTAGTGCTGTTACTGAACTTTCACAACACGAAAATTTGTATGTTTGAATCCATTGATAATTTAGGCGCTAAGAAAAGATATGCTCAATTTAGAAAACAACAAAAGCGTTGTTATCATGCTTACTTGAGAGAGATTATGAACTGCCGGGGTTGGCTCATAAATACAAACTTGATTGTTATGTGCAGCAACAATCTAAGAGAAACAACAAAAGCAATAAACTCAAAGAATCGTTTTCGTCTTAACGCACTTTTCCTGTCTCATTCGTACAATCGACACAAGTTATTAAGCAATTGTCATGTCCAGTGCCAGGTATTACTTGTAGACGTTGAAAATCTCCAGATAAAATAACAACATTGTAACCAGCAGCGTAAGCCTTTCAAAAAAAATAGAGTAAGAAAACTCCAATAGTTATTCAAAACTAAAATCGAGTTTACTTACGGCAAAGTGTACACTTTCAATACTACCGACTGCAAAACTGAAATCGTTTGTATTAGCTGCACCCGTTAAAACTTGATGAAGATGCATATCTTAACATCTAAAACGATTATACAAATAAAATCACAATGTGAATATTCAAAAATACAAAGTAACATATTTTCATCTCGAATAAGGAACACATTTGTATAGAAACGAAAACAATCAAATCTAATATCGAGGGAGACGCCAACAAATTCATCACTTTTTCTGTATTATTATTTGACCAAAACAATTAGAAACGCTGATAACCATGTGTCTTTATTTGAAAAGATATTCAAAAGGGAATCGCACGCAGGCAAACCGAGTTTGGATATACTATAGTAAAAGGTAACGATTTTTGTAACATAAGATCGTTCTCTCCCGTTTAAAACCAATAGAATTCAGTTCTCTAATTCCTTCTCTACTACATATGGTAAAAGAAAGCTAACAAATAAAGAGATATCTTTTTTCACCTAAGATATCCCACGTGCGGATAGTTTTTCGGCTTCAGCGAGTCGATAGAAAAGAAAGATATGCATGTGCGAAAAGAGATATAACATTATTTGCTAGTTCTCTAATGTAATTTCAAAAATATGTTCGTATGTAACACCACTAGCAATGAATCGCAAATAAGTTTGTTTTCTGTGTAAAAAAGAAGCATATAGTAAGTATTTTCTATTTTTTAAAGCGAATAAGCCGGGACCTTATCAGAATATGCAAATTTCATTGAAATCAATGCACTCAGTTGCACAACATAAAGTGTATTTGGACTTTTGTCCAGGTCCGAAAGAATGAACTGGAAGACCATTGTCGTTTAAATATTTGATTATAACAGCGAGGAAAACCTATATCTAACAGGTATCACTCTTAAAGCACATTCCATAAACTGAATATATTTCGCTCCTGATTTCAAAAACAAGACAAGCTTGTAGATAAACGATTACTGATCAATTTTAAAAAACATAAACCGTGCAGAAAAAACTAATTTGCACCGTTCAACCTTCTGTCCATATTGTAAAATGACTTTTTAGTATTTCAGTCACGACGTCGTATCTATTTTATTTTTTTATTTGTAGTTTGATAACAAAACACGGTTGTATACAACGGATGAAAATCAAAACAAAAATATAAACAGCAAGAGAAACAAATGGGTTTTCTCTCTTTCTTTCATTCTTTCCTTTTTCTTGTTCTCGATTTTTACGTTGATTGTGGTTGAGATTGTTGCTGTTGTTGTTGTTCTTCTTGGACACGATGCTTCTTGAGTGGTCCCATAAATCCACGTTTTTCTTCATGTGTCTGAAATCGCCCATGACCAAATTTGGATGATGTATCAATAAAACGTAAATCAATAACTTCACGATGTGAACGTTTTGAAGTTTGTATTAATGATTTTCGTAATGTAATTGGACGTTTTTTCGGACCCATACAACAACCTTTGATCATAATAAAATCTTGTTTCACTTCACCATAATGGGGAAAGCCACCCTAAAACAAAAGAGAAGTGTTGAAATATTTTCAGTTAATTACTGTAGATATTAGTTTCAACGAAACAGCGTAAATTCGAAAGAGAAAACTCTCGATAGGAAAAGAAAGTTGCTTAACATACCATTGGTGTAATTGATTTATCAGTAGGATCATGTTCCGTTGATGCATTATTTTTAATTGTTTTTCCGTCTTTCGTTTGTATAGCATCACCAATACGATAAATTTTTTTATTTATCTCTGTACGATGATGATAACCCTTTTGTCCAGCACGTGCAACAGTAAACGATACGTGACTTGGATGCCATGCGCCAATACATGCCACTTTTCTTAAACCTTTATGTGTTTTACGCGGTAGTTTTCTTGTATGCCAACGAGATGTAACACCTTTGACACCACGACCTTTTGTTACACTAATAACATCGATCATTTCATCTTTTGAGAATACTTGTTTAATTGGAACTTGTTTTTCAAGATGCTCACGTGCATAAGCAATTTTTTGCTCAATGGTACCACCGTTCAATTGTATTTCCATAATATGTGCTTTCTTTTGACGTTTACGCAATAATTTCACTTGTGTATGTGCCAGTACTCGAATACATTTACAGTATTTTTGCATTTGTTTAAACTCATTTTCAATTAATTTTTTACCATTATCATCCGCCCATTTTTTTGAATATTTTGAAAATGCTTTATGTTTGGATTTATACCAGTTTTTATAAAATCGTCTACGACACTCTTCATTTAAATGTTGAGCAAATATTGTTTTAAATGTTCTTAGACCACGTGGTGTTTTAATATAACCAACAACGCCAACAACAACCATAGGTGGTGTTTCAATAATGGTGACAGCTTCAACCGTTTCTTTTTTATTCAACTCTAGACAACAGATAACATAAACAATTAGTCAAAGCAAAAAAACTGAGAATTTCCAGTCTACATTGCATTGTTTCAAGATAGTGGAAATTAATAGCCTTTTCAAATAACATGGTGACAACATGTTGAAAAGAAACACACAATTATCAGAAAAAATAAAAAAGATTATACTAACTTGAAGCAGGACGATCGACTTCTCGGACAATGTGCGTCATTCCTATAACAAGAGAAACAAATTACTTCAACCAGAATTTTTATTTATAATTAATTGTACATACCAGCTTTGTAGCCAAGAAATGCTGTCAGATGAACCGGTTTTTTTGGATCATCTTTTGGGAATGATTTTACTTTACCACGATGACGACGTGAACGTTTTTTTGGTAGAAAGCCGAGCGAACCATGACGTGGATGTTCAAATTTTCGATGACTCATTTTCTATTATCACAAAGAAAAGCAAACTTATTAAACTATTGATGGATTTTATGTATCTAAAAGTTAAAGGATATTTTGAAATAAATAAATATCTTTTAATTTGTTTTCTCGTGCTTGAAATAAGTGTTTGGAGAACTGGTATAAAAGATTAAAATAGATCGTTTATTTTAGTCCTAATCGCTCATCATGCACAAAAAAATTATCGTTTATAATGGAAATCGGTGTTATGTTTGAAATAATGAATAATTTTGTTCTGAAGATCAAAGAGCACTTTTCATAATATCAGATAAGATGATGAATCAGACGACGTATCTGACGAAATCAGTACGATTGATAAACTCAATAAGCCGTTTCCAGAGAAAATATTAGAAGAGACTATCCGTTTGTCTCCGGTAGTTCCCAACGGTATATATATAATAAGTAAATAAAAATGCAATTTTGTATATGCATTCTCCGACTTTTATCATTGGCTAAATCTTATAACATGATGACTTCGAACAATAAAGCGAAATTGTGCATAACTAGTTCGATTTTCTTACTCGGGTGTGTGGCAGCGCCACCTTCAAACCAACTTCCTCTAGATCAATAATCCGAGTATATTATAAAAAGCGTTCATATGATCGTTATTGTAGTTTTTTAATGATACAAAGATTTTCTACTACACTGGAATCTATTATATGTTAATTGTAAGAAAAAACGCAACAGAATTACGAGCCCTTTATTACATATCACCAACAGAAAAATAAAGTTCATGTATAGTCGTGGAAAAGTACGTTTTCGTATTCAGCACGCTGAATAACCAACAAGATTTTCTAGTTTTGGCGAGCGGTACTGCCAAACTTTTAAGACAAATTTTGTAACTGATTATTTTCGAATGAATAATTCAATGAAAAGCTTCGTAGTGAGATCTTTTAGTACAAGATCTTTCTTTTCTAGGCTATATTCGCATAGTAATTCATGACTATCTGGCTATGATAAAATAAACAGAACACAATTCTGACAATTCTTTGGAAAAGAGGATTTACAACTAGAGTTTAACTTTTCCATATTGTCTGTGGATGGGGGCAAGCGTCCGAATCATTGCCTTCAAAAAGCGAGAGGAAAAGTCTTCGGGATCATGTCCCCACCATCATCATCAAAATCCATGCCAGTAGTAGCAAAAGTTGTTTGAGTATTTATACCTACAACTTTTTGTTAAACTTCAGCAATATATGTTTATATGAACATCCCATATCGTCAATTTTTTAATACGTGCGCCGCAATTGCTATTGCAGGATCACAATTGTGTTTGCAACAGCGCATCTGTGCTGTCACGAACGCAATTGTGCGCATTTGTGCGGTTGCGCCCACAATTCTGATCGCAAAACCGCAATTACGCATAACTGTGCACAATTTATCTGCTGTCTGCATTGTACGACACAATCCCATCACATTGCAGCAGAAGTTTACTGCGATAGAAAACGTTGTTTTCGAGATTTCGTATGGTAAACGTGTAAATGAGATCAGCAATCGTCCAGCTTTTACAGCAATATTTCTAGTATTCATAACTTTTTTCTAGTAGATTGAGCAGATATGAATCGATCTCTTTCAAGGTGTTCACGTATTTACCGTCGTTCGTATCATACGCGCAAGATGTCAGTAAGACACTACTATAGTTTCCAGTTAAACTTTCTACTATATCGAAATATTTTTCGGATGATATTGAAGAAATACAAATATTTAAAATCTTCTATTAAACGGAGTCTTCAAGTCCAACATAGGAAATAACATTGATTGTGTCGTTTCAGTTCAACATCATTTGTTTCTTTGAAAAACAATAAATTTTCGTGCGTATATGAACGCCATGTATGTTCTGTAATGCACATATACATCTACTACTTCTGTTTAAGTAACAGAGAAATGAAATTATATTTGTCTATCATTGGAGATGAGATGACATGAACATCAACTGAATACAAGGCATATTATTATATGATAGAAAATAGCTCACAGATACCGTAGAAGCGTATGGTTATGAGAGAATTCATTTACATAGCAAGTCGTTGTGCACTCCGACTAGAAAATAAGAGAGAAATAGTTAGTTCAATTTGTGAATCATGAATTTATTAGGAATCCATTGGTATAGATTGGTTGTTCAATTACAATTACAGGAGGTGCTGCATTTAAGAATTGATTTAACTAATATTTGTATAAACCTTTGTTTTTGTTTATTTATTGTTTAGTGACATGGATCTCAGGCGATCAGTTTTAACAATATGAGTTCAATTGAAGTGAAATATATTATTTATCCTATCCTGTTGACAGACGAAATACAAAGAAGATTTCGTAGTACATTTCCGAGACTTCAGCAAGTGTTTTAGTATAATATCCTTTTACAGTTGTGTATTTTTTCCTATGGAGCGTGTTTCATCCTTATGTTAACCCTCTGAGTCCCAAATTATTTTTGCTGGGTTGAATTGAAGCAGACCGTTATATTAACTTAATTTAGGCACAAAAACACAAATACCTCGCGCGCATGTATTATTGGCTGATTCTCTACTGCTTCATTCCAAGAGATTACGTACTAACTTTTATAAATTACGTTGTGAAAACTAATTATAAAACATGGGTAGCATTTTTTCTACTATGGGACTTAAAGGAAGGAGGCCGAGGGAACAAAAGTCTCGCATGATAGATCTGACAACATTCGATATAGGGGCAGTTTTCCATATTTTAACAGATAACAATGATCGATCTGATACACTGTGACTATGATCGCTGCTTTGTTTAACGTGCAAGAGAGGACGTTTAAGGTCTTTTCTTTAATATACACTAGTTTTCACCCAAAGTATCCTGTTTTTGCTTCCATCGGATAGTTAGATACAACGAGTTCCAAATTCCTCTACTATTTTATCATTCACATAGGTGATTGTTGAATTTTGTTTATCCACTTCCAATGATGCAAATAAACAAATAAGAGATGCGTCAGTAAGAACTCAACATATTCTAAGTTTATCCAGTAATACGTTAAGTGCAAAGTGCAAAAATTCTGCTTTAAAACTTTATGTTGTTTGTTTCTCACAAAGTTAAATGCATGTGATGTATTATTTCATTGAATACCATCAATATAATTCTTTTTTTGTTTGTTTTCTATACCCAACCACAGTAAGTATGACAAACTCAAAGAGTGCATTTATATGTTTAACGACTTTGCGTCACATAATAAAAAGTGTTAATTATTGTGAACATAACAATTGCTAGTTTCTTTCCTGATGATATGACTTTCCTAGCATTATCTCTGATCTCACTACTGTTGTTATTTATTCATTTAAAGTCTTCATCTTGGTTTGTTTATGTATTTATTTTCGCTTGAAACAAAACAGAGTATAAAGCGATACAAGCTTTAAATGAGACAGGTTCGGCAATATTTTACCTAATGGTTTTAAAATGTTGACTTCCTCGAGATTTGTCGAGAGAAATCATGATTGCTTTAGTTGCTGACGTTCTGCAGTTCTCGATCTTCTGTGTACGTTATATGTCTTGTGTGCTCTTGCATACCATTTTTTTATTTAGACTTCCGTTGATTTTTATTGATTAACGAAAGTGAATTATCTGATAAAAATTTTACAGTGTAACCATGACTATTCTGGAGTTAGAGACAAGACTTTTATACCATGTTTGGAGAAATGTAAGCTGTTATAGACATCACTCTATCACTTAAAGAATACGGACCTTTAGAAAGTGATTTAGATATACCGTAGTATCAACGACAGAGTGAACTACTCAAAAATAAAAATAATCATCTTATGTTCTGGACACAATCATTTGAAAATTGATGTGAAATTAAGGTAATGTAATGTGAACCAGAAGCTTTAATGGATCGACTTCGAAGTACGGTTCTGTGATGTGTTTCAGTCTCTGATGTGAAATATCAATAGAAGCAAGTAGATATTTCTGAAATATGTTTCACAATGATAGATGACTGAAAGTTTAATGTTATTTTTGACTTATGATCAACTTAAAATTAATGCGGGAGCATAAAGTGATTTTAAATCACGTACAAATTAGATTGTAAAACTAGAACACTGAGTCTGTCTTACAGTACACACGAAAAATAATGGCTTAGATTATACTTCAGTTTTTATATTATTCTCACGTATGAATTTTTTGCGAAACAGACTATTGAATTAAAGAATGGAACCATCTCTATCAAAGTTTTGTATTTTTCTTTGTATTTGGAGAACTAATTTGCAAATGAGAGATGAAGTATGGTGTTAGAGCCGTTTGCTGCTTCAGTTTTTATAAGAACTCGTTATTTTCATGACATCTTGTTAAGAAAAATTTTTCTATTTTTAGTTTTCAATGAAGTATACTCGGGCACTATAGCTATTAAAAGAGAATGGAAAATAACTTTTTTGTGTTTTGTATTTTTTGAAAACGATTTTTTATTTAATTTAGAAAACATGAAAAGAGAGCGGAAATAATTAATTTATTAACTAGTTCTTCTACTATTAACTGTTTAGTAGAAAAGGTAAACCAAGTTTATGTTTTGACAGATAAGCCAAGCTCAGGTGATTACAAAACTTTAGCTATCTAATGCCTCATCAACAGAAATAGGAATAGGGACGGCGATGGAAATCAAATCTCCAAGATCAAGCTGAAAGGATGATTATTAGTCACATTTGAATGTTAGATTACGTTTGGGACAGTGACAGTGAAGGTTATTTCTAATCTAATTAAATGGTAGAAAATAGAGTTACGTAGTTAATTCTCTTTCTTTGCTGTGTTTTAATTTCAAAATTAGAAATTGCTCGTCTCTTTTCGTTTGGGTTTTTTTTTATACTTTTTTAATTACAAACTTTCAATTAGAAATTGAACCATTCTTCGTTTTATACAAATGCTATTCGCTTTTAACAACTTGTGTTACGGCCATGTATTCAAATAGAATAGAATAATGCGTATCATATAGTTGAGCATTGTATATGTTCTGTTTCTTTCTCATCAGCTGTGATTATTACAGAAAGAAAAAAAGAAAAATGTATAGAGAACAGCTGATTTAATCTGTTTAGCAGAGGGAGAGAGAGAGAGACAGAGAGACAGAGAGACAGAGAGACAGAGAGAGGAGAAAGACAGAGAGAGAATGAGTATATAGAAAGGACCATATACATTGAACATCACATATGGATGGAAAAAAGAGTTGGAGCCAGACTAAGTGTTGAAAAGTGTGTACCGTTTTAGAATGAGTGAGAAATACGAATCTGTTTTGTATTTTGGATTATTTTCTTTAACAAAAAACTGGAGACCCACGTGTACATTTGCTGTATAAAATACGTGGGAAAGAAAAAAGAAAACATGGAAGATATATATATTTTGTCCACAAAAAAAGCATAAAAAAAAGAGAAAAGACGAAACTATTGTCGTCGAGTGCACATAAATGAATGTTATATTTTCCTTTTGCCATCAACATATTTGCTTCTTTGGTCAGAAAACAAGCGTGAGAATAATTATTCATTGATTTCTTTGAGTTTTGGTATATAAAAATGATATTATTGTTGTTATGTCATGTTCAGTGTTCTCACTTTAAGTCACAAATGGAAATTTCAAATAAAACTATATTTCAGTCGAATGATGGTGCAAGACGGTTCTAACTTAAGCGAGTCTTTCAACACAACTGCAGAATTTTTTTTATAAAACAAAGATTTTTTACGGTTTATAGTCATGACAGTACAAAATGGTAAACAGTTTTTACAAAATTAGATATGGAATTGTGGAATTTGTATTTGTATTTTGTGAGATGTGGAATTGATATGCACACATACTCATTCATAAATATTGGTATGGATTTTCGGTTGACATTAACTAATGTCAACCAATTAATTTGACCAAGATATCTGATTTAATGTTGTCTATCTCGGCACTCGATGAGTAGAAAACGAGGTTTCGTCTAGTGCTATGATGCCTATATTTAATATGAACCAGTATTGTCTTCATTTACTCTCTGTCTTGACAATATGATCTTAGTTAGAGGAAAAAGACTAATATTTGTGAAGGTGTCTGAATTCACCTTGTTCTTTTAGCTAACAAAATCAAACGTGTGAAGTACTAATTACAATTACTGTCTTGTTAAATGTACTTCACAGTGATATTATTTCCAACATATATATTTTTATTGTAGATAATATGTGCTACGCAGCTGTTTTGTTCAAACTAGTCTAGGTTTAGAAAAGGCAGTATTCTTTGGCGCAAATTAATTGCTGTTTTTTTGTACTCTATTTTTAAAATTTAGAAAAATATAAAATAACATTAGTAAATATATAATTTGTTGAATGATATGACGATGACAACAGAAAATGAATCTGGACAAGATTATGCCGATCATCATCGAAGTTTTCTAAATCGTTCTGAACCTATTAATTCTTCTCCATCGTCGTCCTCTTCGTTCTCATGTTCATTATCACCAAGTATGTCGGCAATAACAACGCCAAGCAAGCGCATACAAGGAGAAACCGAAGTCGATTCAGGTCGATCATCAGATTTAGATGAAGCAGAGACAACAACAACACTCAAACAAGATGAAAATGAACTTATTACACCCGAATTAAAACAACAAAAACAAGATGATTTAAATTCGGATATTATTCAGAAAATTAACAAAGGTTTATCGCTAGGTGCGTGATAACGATTTGATCAAACGTTTTACATACGAATTTTTATCTTTCAATTTCAGGTTACGAATATGATTTAATTCAACATGTTATTAAACAAAATGATAAAGACACAGATATGTCAAAATTTTTAGAAGAATTAGTACGAACAGCTGATTCATCATTGAATAACAATTCAAATATAAATAAAAACAACAATAGTAATATAAATTCGAACCAAAGTAATAACACAATCAACGGCAATAATACGAATAGTACGATGTTCATGAATATAAAATCAAATGGTGGAATCGATAGTTGTCATGAAAATATGACTTTACAAGGGAACTGGACACAAAATACAAATAACAACAATAACAGTCATAATAGCAATAATGCTACACAACAGCATATTGTACAGCATGATATTTATGTAGTGGATGGAGCCGACATTGCATGCAAGTAAGAAGAAAACAATAGCCTCTACCATTTATAATGGCATGTGTGAAACTTAATGCTGAGTAAAATCTTTAACAATTTGTGAGGGTGTAATCAACCATTCTTCAATCTAAGTCATCCAAACGCTATAAGGACGTTTTGAATACATTTTAGTACTAAAATCTATTATATCTACTGTTTCAGTTATGGAAATGGCGTATTTTCTTGGAAAGGTATCGAAATCTGCATTAAATATCTTCATTCACATGGTCATAAAAAGGTTTATGTTGCATTACCATATCATTTGAAAAATCATCGACAAAATCTACAATTTCTTGGTATATGTTCTCTTAGTTCTCACATACTATGGTAGTTGTTCACTGTTTGTTTATTATTTTAGAATCAAAGGCATTGAGAGATTTAGAAAAGAAGAGTATGCTCGTATATACAAATCGGAATTTTAAACAAACAAATAAACATGAAAGTATTCAACATATAAGTGAAATGTTAAAATATGTTCATAAATCAAAAGGACATTTAATTACAAATGTTTCATTGAAAGAAGTTATTCTTGATTTTACCATATATAAACATATATTGGAAGAACGAGTTGTAAGATATAAATTTCAGCATGACAAGTATGTTTTTTTTCTTGTCAGACAAAAGCGCATCAATAACTTTATCTTTTTAGCTTCATACCATTACTTGTTGCAATTACAAACGGGGAAGATGGTGAAAGTGAAATGCATTATCCATTATGTCCATACGGTAGGTATTCTAGGGGATTCTTCTTATATTGTCTGATAGATATGAATTATTGTTCATCTTAGGTAAAAAGTGTACATACGGAGTAAAATGCAAATGGGAACATCCTGAACGTCGTAATCAAAATTTATTATCGGTTACAGATAGTGTAATAATGAAGGCATGTTTAGAAAAATCAAAATTAGATTATCGTCAACAATCATTAGTACAACCATTCATACAATCTCCTCTACCTGATACTTTAGTATCATCAGCTTCAATACCATTGATGAATAAAGATGGTCTACAACATGTTCTAACAAATAACGGTATGCTTAAAATTTCTAACAGATTTTTCTTATTTTTCTCTCGATTTTTATATTGCTCCTATTTGGTTTCAAAGAATAATAATGAGATAATTGTTTGTTCTGCTTTTCTTTAGGTTTTAAACCAAAATTTAAGCCGTATTCATCAGCACATAATACACTATTACGCATGGATCCAAATGATCTTGATTCTTCTGCGACAATGTTTCCAACATATCGATCTGATTCTTATGTGCCACAACAACAGCCTCAATCGCCAGCGATTTCTTTAGCACCTACCATGTACAATTCTAATCCACATTCAAACGGTTATATATTGTCGTCGTCTATGGAACAAAGTTTAGTAGATGATGCTCTGGCATCGTATGCAAACGGTCTAGAAACATCTGACAATGGAAATAGAACAGAGTTCACTTTTATCGATCGACGTACACAACAATCACCAACCATAATAAATCATCATCATCAAATGCACAATAATGGAGCTATATTATTAAAACACTCCCCACATAGTTGGTATGGTACACCGACATCAACCGTAAATTGTACCACGTTTCCATCTTACAATAGTCACCCTATGTCAAACGATTTTCTGCTACAACAACAACAACAACAACAAAGAATTGATATTCCAAGAACTCTGTATCGTTCTGAGAGTATGATATCGCAACTTGAAACTACAATTAACCAAAATCCAGGAATATTAATGGATAATAATATTAACAATTCTCCACAATACGCAAACGTGCCTTTACAGTCGCCGCCAGTGGTAAACAACGCACCACAATTTGATCAGGTAAATCCTAATATTTCTACTTAGTTCTGTCACAATGAAATAAGGTGTTTTATCTAAATATATTTTTTTCTTTTAGAATATGCTTCGCATGTTTGCGAGACTAAGCATGCCTCAGGTGTCTTTACAACAACAACCACTATCAGTGATGGATCCACAAAATTCAATGATGTTAATGAATAGTAGCATGCTGAATAATAATCATAGTTGCGACGTGCAAAGTCCGTCAACATGTGCTGTTAATAGTCAGCACGCATTATCCGAAAAAATACAGTCTGTTCGTCATTTATGGGGAGCAACAAACAGGTAATAATGTTCAATTGACTAGAATGATAAATTTTATTGTCACTCTACAAAGTGTATATCCTCTTCATTAATAACAATCACAATTTCTATCAATAACACGATCATTATCCGTGCCCACTCAAATTTATTTCAACTTATCAACACCCACTTCATCAAATTATTAATACAAGTAAAAACTGTGTAAACCTCTTTTCCCTTTCTCTCTATTCTTCAACGTCTTTCACCTTTCTCTCTTTGTTTGTCTGTTTATAAGAAATGTGTCTGTTATATCTTCATTATATATATTTACAAACATTCACATGCTGTATGTACACGTGTACGTAGACTTGCTGTTTGTTTATTCTTTTTTTTTTGCTACATCCGTCTATCAATCTGCTTAGAAAAATTTACAATGTGTGGGTATGTTTTTTACTGTATATAATCTATGCATGTGTGTGTGTGTGTGTATGAATTTTTCTACACAAGTAATCTATTTTTCACACTCGCTATTCTCTTTTATTACATATTGTAATATTCGTATAGATGTATTATTTTTATTCGGACATTTTCATAAGTTAAGCATAAATCTTCTTAACATTTGTTTTCGACAATACTTGCACTGAAAACACTAGCTAAGGCCGATATACTCATTTTTTGTTTCTTTTTTCATACAACGAGTTGAACGATTTTTCTATCAGAACTAGTTAATAATGAACGGCAACGTTGAAATGATATCTCGTTTTTGTGCCGATTAAAAAATATTCTACAACAAAATGTTTTTCCTTCTCTTTTTAATTTATATTGTAATTTATAATTCTTTACGATACTTCATTTTTTTTCGTTTTTTTTTGTATAACATGTATAAAATTAAAATGTGCACACACATACATAGGCGCGTACAAGGTTTTTGATATACTTCTATTCACTTAGCTCAACAAACCTTTTTACGGTGTTCTGACCTATTTGTTGTATATTTGTTAACCGTAAAAAAAAATTATTGCATCCACACAGTGTCTTTCTTTTGTAAACTCATTCTTGTGTGCCGTATTTTCTATACTAAATTATGAAATAAGAGTGTATATACTCTCTCAATTAGATCATTTTTAACTCCACTGTACTTGTTGTGAGGGTATCTATTGTTGTTGTTTTTATATTTATTTGGTTCCAAGTACTAAGATTTGGGTTGTTTTTCTATCTTTTATGTGTTTTCTGTTTGTATATGCTCTTTTTTTTCGTGTGTTTCTATTTTTTCTTTTTTTCGTTGTTTGCAAAATATATAGATACATTAATAACGTTGGATATTTCCCGCAGATATTCAATAACTCGATATCTCACACGGTATTTATGTTTCAGCAACTATTATACAAATCGGCTATTTTCTCTATTTATACTCACAATTAATCACTCAAACTGTTCGGATTTGTCTAGAAAAATAGGAAGCTATTTTCTTTGATACAGTTTTTCCTAATGTCAAACGTGATGAAAAATCAATTAAGAACAGTTTTTGATAAATCTTATACTAACTTCCTAACTAAAACATCATGGTGTTTTGTTGCTCTTTTCAAATATTTCAAACCCACGTGCTAATTACATTATCGAACTAAATGCGCAAACAACTCACATTCATAACTAAAACAAAGTTTAGTTAAAAGTAAACTTTTATCAGTTGTACATAAAGCAAAGAACACTCGATTTTAAGGCCAATTCATGATATTTCATCCAAAATATACAATCTATCTTCCACAAAGATGCATATCCAATGGAAGTGCGTAAAATCAAATTAGTTACTCGGTCACAGTGGAAATAAACAAGTCAGGATAGCCACAAAAAATGTTCACAACATGTTCAAAAGGGTAAGTAATTTGTTTTCCTGATTAGTTCTGAAATAAGACCTATAAATGAGAAATTCACATTTATTTATAGTCTATTAAAACACTGTAAAACTAGTAGAAATAAAGTTGACACACTACTTTTGTATAAAAACTTTGGTGACGATATCATAGTGAAACCACGAGCACGAAAACGAGGACGGAGTCCGTTGGTCAATTATTGTCGGCCAAAATATCCATCTGACCTCATCGATCGATTACATACCTGTAAAATTGATAATAATCAATGTCAAGTTGTGAATAACTTGAGAGAAGTATATCTTAAATAGCTTTAATATGATATAGCAATAAACTTCTTTTCTCGAATTCACCTAGGCTGAATGCAAATTAAAACAATATTTTCAAACGCATTTTCATACTATTCGTGCACAATTTGAAAATATTGATCCTTGTGCACTAGGAATCGTGAGCAAACGTGTTTTTGAACTTATAGTACAAGGGTAGGTATAATATCTATATGTTATAGAGTAATGTATAAATTAGACACGTTCGAGTGAATCTCTACATTCTCTAGTAAATTTGTTCAGTTTGCTAGTAATTTTAGTGAAAATACAAAATAAACTTTAATAAATATACGATATCTAATGCCCTACTGCCATAGTGTTAGAAAGTTGCTCAGACAACATTTTAATCACATTGATGAATGTAAGTTTATCAGAGGAAAATATAGTACATTGAAAGGCTGAAATGAAAGGTCGAATAGCATAATTTAGTAAAAATTTACGTGTAATTTTTGATTTTTTATTGATACTCGTCTTTAGATTAAGAGATGAGGCTATTAACTAGCGCTTAAAGTACTAGAGCTTACCAACTAGACTTTAAAGTTGATTTTGTACTTTTGTCAAGTTTAGTAGCAATGAACTAAATTATCAGGAGGATGTCATCCTCCGCTAGTTTGTACTTTTCACACCCTGACTGTTTTAGCACAAAACAAAAATATATTTTAGAAGTGGTATACTCATTAGTCCTGAATGTATGGAAACATTGTGGAGTTCGTTTCAGATACCCTGTGAATCAAAAGGAGTACCTTATGAAATATTTTTAAGCAGATTTATTGAACCCAAATTACATCATCAATTGATGGTTGTTCATAGAAAAGCGAAACAGGGTAATGCTGTGTAGGACAATAAACTACTAGTACGGTAATATGCTCTATTCTTTAGAATGGTGTGCTCAAAATACATCTGATCCGATTAACGGTATTCGGCAGGGTAAAACCATGTGTTCTTACCAACAAAATCAACGTAAAATTTCATGTGATGAGAATAACTCATCGAGCACATACGTAACACCAAATGAATGTAGAAAATTTAATTTAATTACAAAAATTGCTAAAACTGTGTGTATCTCAGTTTTGTTTATCTTCGTAACATAAATCTCTATATCTGTTCAGATCCATCAATGCTGGCATTGTTTAAAAATAGACTTTTGGTATACGCATATTTTCTACTGATGATCAATTTTGTTGGTTGTTTTAAATTTCTAGGAAGTGTGATCGCTTAGGGAAAACATATATTCCAATTTCTGATGCTATTGTAAGTAGTGATCACGACTATCATGTTCTAAGCATTAGATAGTAATAAATTTAGAAACTAATGAAAAAATATTGTTTTCCAATCATTCATTGTCAAATGTCTGAATTAGCCATGTTATTTTCTCCGAAACGAAATGGTCAGTTTTATTATTTTAATTTCATGTTATATTTTACAAAAAAAACCATGTCAAGCAGTACAGCATTCTCAAGATTCACTTACTCTATTCAATCAAATGTATGAGTGATCATTTATAAATTTCTTTTAAGGCTAAAATCGTCTTGTCAATTTTCAGCTTTCTCAGACAACAATTGATGCCATTCTGCAACGTATTCGATGCAAAGTATGTTCTTCACACAAAGAAAAACGGATCGTTTAATCAAAAGTCAAAAAAAAGCTAACCCTTCGAAAATGTGTGATAAAACAGATACTTAAAAACTGAAGAGGTTTCTGTATAGTACTTATGTAAGGACTAACGAGCGTTTTTTAGTTCACGTACTCACTGAGCATTGAAGAACTAAAATATTTCACATGAACACTAAAGCACATCTCCATAACCACTTTATTTTGTGTATTGATGTGCGAAATAAACAACATGGAATATCAAAAATATACGACGTATTTTCACTGGTACAACTATAACTGTCTTCATTTACACAAAACTCGAGTTCTTCACTACACAAATGTATCAGAGTGGTCACTGGTATGTACAAGTTACGCATCGCGATCTTTTGAAAAAAAGACACTAAGTAATTTGACATACGTCAGCTTAGTATACCGAGTACTAATGCTGGTACTAAAACCAAGTACCAAAAACGTAAGGATGCCGAATCACTTAAGTTAGTACCAAATTAGTGGTTACGAGCAGTGAACTGCTAACAAGTTATATAGATAAGTGAGGCATACTTATTACTGAGTACTCCATCCATAAGTACATTTAATGGAAATCTTTTTATTGTAGTGTTTGAGTGACTATGGAAGTATTTATCGAATGTTTAAAGCTGCAGACACTAATGCGAAAGGCTATTTAACACAAGAAGAATTTCAAAAAATATTAAGATATTGTGATATATCGCTGGATAATGAGAATTTTTATCATGTATTCGCCGAATTGGATAAAAATCCAATGGATGGAAAAATTCAATATGGTGAATTTTACGTTGGATTGATTTTCGATGCATTGGCACCATAATGAATTCATTAGAGCACGCAATAAATTACGCTGGGGCTAACAACGTAGGCATAAGTTCAGTCCTGTCTTATACTGTCCTTAACTTTTCATTGACTTTTTTTTCTTTCATTCTGTATCTTTTATGATAGTGAAATATAGAAGAACAACAAAAAGAACAGTGGATAGAATTTCTGCATTCACTATCACTACGTTCAGTTCGATTGTGTTTAGATGGGTAAATTGGCTTATCTGGATCTACCCAAGTCAACTTTCTTGCTTCTGCCGTGTCGCGAGTCGCGACAAGTACGCGTAATGCGATCACGGTTATGATCGCAAAATACGAGTCTTACAACAGTGATCACAGTTTTGTCGTGATCCAAGAATGATTGCACTGAATTCGCGATCGCCATGCTACGATCACGATTTATTAGGTATTCTTGTGCTGTTGTCCACAAGAAGTCGCAAATGTCATATCGTAATCATGCCCTCCTCTAGAATTTGCATCGTGATCGCGCATAAATAACCATTTTCGCGCTGCAACTCTCACTTTAAGACTCTCGCCGCGACTACTATATTCTCGCGTTATTTTGTTTTTGGTCTATTAGATGTTTGATTCCAGTAAATTAACAGAACTTCGCTTCTTGATCGTACGGCTCATTTTTTTGGCTATGTCCGTGAGTGAATATTAGTCTTTTCAATAATGACTTAGACTATTAAGTTTTTATATAAAAGAAGCGAGATTCTGCTGACTAACTGGGATCAAAATAAATGTGAAGAAACCATTCACATTCGGAGTCACGGAAGCTCAGATCAATATGATCTTGACGTTCAACACCAATTCGTTGAATGTTCTGTGTAGACGTAGGAAAATTGTGCTCTGGTCGGACGCATACAGAAAATCGATACGGGCGTCCGCTACACCATATAACAAACAAACGGTAGTGGATGTATTACACCGAGGTAACTCATTAACATTATCAGCCTTGATGATGCGTTTCTCACTTTGATGCATTATTATTCTGAAACGTTGCTCAGTCAACGTAATTAATTGAGCCTATACAGAGTAAAGTCGCTTGTATTTGGTGCTATCTTGTTGAAGAGTCACATGGCAGCGTAAGAGCCAAACGCGATCGCGCTCTGCCTTTGAACCGTTTTGATAAAAACTGTCATGTTGCAAGTTACAGTGGCGAGCCATGAAGTACGTTTCATGACTCGTGCACTATCGTGGTAAGACAAGTTGTCGCTTCGTGATCAGGGAAGATTGTTACTTTCAATAATAAGAATATATCGCGATACCGAGAAGATATTAAGATTTTGTAGCGGTGGAAACATGAACTAGCGTTTTCACCGCGATTATATCGCGACAAGCACGATCACGGCAAGAGTGTTAACTTAGGCAGTGTAGAGAAACAATACTGTCCGTAGAAATATTGTCAAACGAAAACTAAAAATGACTAAGCCTTCTCCTTTCAGGACTAAATGGAAGCTCAGCGTCTTTTCGTTTGCGTCAACGTTTCTAGCTGTCAAGGTTTTTCATATCGTTCTATTACAATCCTCTCAAATCCTTGACAACTTCATCCGACCAGGTTCAAAACTTTACCTTAAATACTAGACAATATTTCGCAAGGGTACATTTTTTATGTTTGTTTTATTGTTTTTCCTTTTAGAATTGTAGCAAAACCTATTATATGATAATGGTTGTCACCTTCTCCGCTATACTTCAACTTTTATCTGCCTTTCGCTTTTTTTTGTTTTCTGAGATTTCTATATTTCGAACTAAGATGATTTGCTCACTCCTCAAAAAACAGAAACGCTGCAGAGCCTTTCACATTTATGTATTTTTTTCTCTAACTGTTAACAGCAGGCATACGCCGGTATTTACCAGTATATTTTATCCTTCTTCTTAGTTAAGTTTTTTCACGAAAAAACTTAAGTTAAGATTTTACTTTAGTCACACTTAAGTTACGTTTTTTCGTGAAACAAGTCCCTGGAGCTGCTTCTTACTCGGTTTATAGCGACAGGTGTCCATTCATTGACAATTCAACCAATCAGAAATTCAGTCAATCTCATCGTTCACAACTGTGTAGTTGAACTCGAATAGAAGTTGATTTAATTGTTTAATAACCAATCTCTTCAGAAAAATACTGTTAAGTATAATCAAAGTAATCAGGGGCAATCATTGTTTTATTCGTCATTAACCGTGATCATTAAATTATAACTTATATTATTTGGAATTGCAAGAAATAAACTCAGCAGCTATAAACATATTTAAAAAATAAAGTGTAGAAATTCTATTAAAGACAATGTGCCGTATTCAAATTCATGAAAAGTGATGACCATCAGTAATTTTAACAATTTCAGGGTCAGTCGAGAGCAAAAAGAGTTTCGATTTCGAAAATTTGATTTTCGTTGTTTTCATCGAGAAAAACGTGGAGATTGTGATGGTAAACTATGGAAAATCACTTCTCCCAAACGTCTCATTAAGCCGACTGAGTGAACTATCTGCTTATTGCTTTTTCACATGTTCTTCTTTCTTTCTCTACACCTCGAGCGCGTTTTTCTGCTCGTCGATCTCGGTAATTTCAAGTCATCGAAAACTGGTACAAAAAAGGGAATATAAAACTCATACTGAATACGACACATCCGAGGTTGTTTTTGCGCTACCCTTTTTAGTTTTCCCAGGTATATGCCCTACCTTCTTTTAACTTCAGTAACCTTAGACGATATATTTATTCTCCTAAGTTATTTCCTCTATAATACCTGCATGCAGAAGAAAAGATAAATCAGGTAATGAACAACAAAGTTTGAATGAAAATCCTTAAAACTATTTTGGAAAAAGTTACTATCCTTATTTTTCTTCGAATGATAATTGTGATGAGTTGCGATGGAGAAAAAGAACTGATTATACAAAAGATTTAGGTTCAGATTAATATTATTAAATCTTTTCTTGTTCTAGATTCTTGCTACTGTTCCTGAGATATTGACAAAAATTTATACAACAGAGGATGTTTTGTTTTGTAACGATAGAAAGAACTATAATACGAAAATCTCAATTTATGTCTAATTTTCTCTGAACATTCATCTATTTATCAACTGACGAGGGAAGGTCCCCAGATGTCTCCCTGAGATTTCAAAGCAATGTATCCCACTTTGCTAATTTAAGGATGCTGATTACGAATCTAAAAATCATTCGTACTCTCATTCAATCCTTCAAGAGTTATACGCATTTTATTTTAATAGTAGCGAAAAGTACCATATTTTGAAAAAAATCACAGCTTTTCATAGAAATGTTCAATAGAGCTGAGAGATATGCCATTCTACAGATAAACACCTTAGCTATAAAATGATATGTGTTTTAGCTTCAGAGAACGTTTGATTGTTAAGTTAA